GAAAATTGGTTGCAAATGTAGTTCGTTGGGAAAATCACGGTGAAATAGCGTTGTGGAAATGGTAAGATTAGAGATGTTCTTCTGGAACAGGAGTAAATCAGATTGGGTAACGAATTGGAAAATTAATTCGGTCTCAAGTCTGACATCGATATGAAATTTCTCCAATACCTGCGATTTTTATACGAATATTTATTTTGTTTCAGGTAAGTGGATGGTGTTATTCAATTGCAAGCGTAAAGGTAGGATTAATTTTTAATAATTAATTGAAACTACAATGAAATATTGTTTCATACAAAGTCAATAATATTTTTAAATTATTATTCTACACGAATCTTTAGCTGGAATGAATTGGTTGTTTACTCGCTTCTGCACAAAGGATATTTACGTAAAGGCGCTTTACTATTTTCTAGTCATGGAAAATACCTATTAATAAACATGAGTTTTCCGTTGAAAACTAGGACGAACAAGTAAAAAGCGTTTTCTTACATCCCGACTTTTCAACAAGTATGTTAAGATATTTTTCAAGTCGCTTGACTGACTGCTGAAAGAGGTCAATTATTCATTAAAAGTTCGATTAAGTAGTGTCGGAAATTACATGTCGAGAAAATAATAAAATAGCAGTTACCTACATTTTTTTAAATAACTCCTAGCTATAAATTCGTGTAGAATTATTCTGTTTTTGGAGCGAAATATATTCACATTAAATTATACCAACCTACAGGCTTCATTAATAAATTATTGCTGTGGTTAACATAACACAATTACAAATTCATGAAAAGGACATCCTATTAAAACAAAGCCATCAAAAAAATCCATCTATTCTCGATCGAAATATATTAATTTTCGATCAACGGATAACTAACTACACTGGACGTGAAAAGCGATGATTTATTTCGAAAGTGCGAGGACATTTTTGAATTAATTATTCGAATTACTAGTAAAAAATCACTGGAGTTTTTGTAGATGAATTATTGCTAGCTTGATGTCAAAAACCCTAATTTTGACTGGAAAATACAACAACTGCAAAATCTGCAACAAATCCTCGACACATTTTTTAATTCCACCAACCAGCTCGACACAATTTTACCAGTATTAATCAAATCCCTCGTTTCGTTTAGTCCATTTCCATTTCCATCGAAACGAACCAATTAGCATATTTCCAATTCAAAATTCCAAGTCTTAGAAATTAAGTCGACTTAATTTCGCCTGTTTATCTTCATTAATTATTAACTTCCAAGTCTTCAACAAGCAAAGGGTGAGTTGTTTAATCAGTATTTACATTTATTACACACGAATTCGTTCCAGCAACTTCCAGATAAGCTAATTTTGTATAGGTATTTCGATGATTAATAACGAGCCTTTTTCTCCATAAACTTTTACCAAAAATCGCAATAAATCATTGCCTCCTTCTGCAGATAAGAAACCGACGGTGATATATATATTTACGCGTCGCGACGCCCGGCGTCAATTGCTCCGTGCACCGGGCAAAGTACATGACATTTGAAAACTTGCCAAGAGCGCCGTCGACGGCGTCGCGACGTCATTACCATTGCTCTCCAAGATAAAGAATTGCGGCGCTTTTATCTCTACCTACTCATTAAGTTACCCAGCGAAAATTCGTACACTCGAAGGTACAATAGACTCGTTTTTGAGAGGCCGAAAGCCACCGTATAATTCCGCCAAATTTATACTCTGTATGGAATTTAATGTTGTGGAGTTCTGACGATGGAAGTTTATACCTAATAATGCTCTAGTGCCTCCGTGATGTTGTATATAACTTGCGGTTCTTTGTTCCAGCGATAACTATGTTACATATAGTGCATTAAAATACCTCGTGCAACAGGTATATAATACAATTTTACAGCTTTATAACATGCCTCATCAAGCCACTTAAATAGAAGGGTTTAAAAAAATTGTTTGTCTCCGATTTCGTCTTTTATAATGACTCTGTTCATCGATTTATCATTTAAGTATGCTTCGCCGGTTTAATTACACCATTAATTTGTATTATGAGAGTCTTGGGGAGATCTATTATTCGATAAACGTTGATTGATGTAGCTAATTTTTCGCTCGATATTCCAATAAGCGAGTAATTCGATATTTTAGTGAGTTAATATCGTTAATATGATTCGAGGAAGTTGCGATGATTTTGGATTACCCCCGCCGGTTTTTTTTTTATCTGCACCAGTTTTAATAACGAAATCCCCGAATCCCTCTTCACTTTAGTATATGAATATATCTACTTTATTTTCGGCATTTGCGCTTCAGGGGATCGACGATTTACTGATAGCCAAGCGTGCATTATTCTCGATTTTCCAGCTTTCTCGCCTCCTTTATATTCTCTATCTGTCCGTTAATTCGCCTCTCTACTTAAGCCGAATTATCCTACTTCGGGATTAGAACGGTTTTTTTTTGCGTAATTAAATCCGGAGATTTATTTTATAGGTCGGTTCGTCTCAAGTGCCCTCTCGAGCCTATCCTAACATCATCACTTGAACCTAGCTCGATGTAGAGGTGGAATTTTTTTTGCATGACGGCGACCGGAGGGAAAACGTTTTTCCTCCCCGGATCGATCGTTTCCTGGATTGATTGTGGACTCGAATTAGCCGGAAGTTTATTATCGCTTGCTTTTTTCGCCGGTCGATCGGGGCCGTTTCCGAAACATTAAAAAGCTTAGATCGAAGCTCGTTTTGTAGCTTTGCATTCGCGAAAATACCCGACGGAAAAAATGAATAAACCCATCAGAAACCCCAGAGTTTTCCGGGACTTTCCATTGCGGTCACGTATGAGACAAACAAGTTCAGTGTCACTCCTGATAAGTTTCCGGAGCGAGTGGAGGTTAATAATTGGGAAGTTGCGACTTTAATTCACTCCGCTCGTTAGGATTGAGGCTCTTTGATGGCCGAAGCGGACGTTATTCGACTTAATTTCATTGGCGTAGATACTCGGGAAGAATCGATTTGATTAAAGCGGTTATTTCGAAATACACCTGTCGAACCGCCGGGAAGTGTATTAGAAGGGGATCCTCTTGAATGCAATTCCGGACGCGATGTAAATTATTCACGAAAACCCCCTTACAATAAAGGCGTATAGTCGAATTAGAATCCTATTGGAATTCCTGCAGTGGCTCTCTCTGAAGTCTCACTAAGGGTTAACAATGCGTGAGATATATTGAATTCTGAATGACCGTCCTTTAGAAATCCGCAATACTTTTTTACTAGAATTTATTTGTAACTTAGCTCTATTATTATACTCAAATTCAAAAGCAAAAAGCTTGTTCCTATACATAATTATCCTTTTGATGTAAATGATAGTGCTCGAGTAGGTAATATAACTATCCTGCAATCACGTAAAAAAAGCTTTTTATTGTTTTATTCCAAGTTTCTTTGATGAATTTAAATTAACCCTTCTAGTGGAATTACATTAAATCTAATGGAATGAGTGATAGAAACATGAGGTCGTGACGGGGTACTTTCCTAACGAAATTTCCCCGTTTTCACGACGGTGGGTTAAAAATTCGCTGATTTCTTCGGTGTCAGGAAAAAAATCTAATTATCCTCCTTGGAAACGAAGTTAAGTAAGTTGTTCGTTACGCGGAGTTTTAGGGAAGGAAATAAAAAAATAAAGGAGCCGACGTAAAAGCACAAGTTTCAAGCACTGAAAGCGAAACTTGGAAAATGTAGCTTCTGCTTTAGATTGTAAAAATGTGACTTTTTAGTTTCCTGTTTGGTTCGGTTTGGGAATTTTCTGTTTGTGTACGATTTTATTGATCTATGCAGAATTTTTTATATCTCCATTGTGATTCACCCCTAAGGATTTGCACTACAGCAGTCCCTTAATACACTCTCTTTGTCAGTCAAAATGGAGTTGAAATGGTTGTCTCCTTTGCAGGATAATACGAAATCTAACACCATTCTGATTAGATCAAGAAATGTTTATTAATTTGTTGTTCTGTTTATTTTACTAGTAGATATGTTGATAGGATAACTATTCTCTGTATAATTCCAGGATGTTGATTTATAAATTCTCCACGAATTACTGTAAACAATATTAATTCAGTTATCCTGTGCTGTGATTCTAGATGTGTATTTAGGATCAATAGAGATAATTCTAACATCACTCGATTATTGAAATATTCCTTAAATTTACCTCTATTAAAGTTGAATATATTTTAAATGTATCGCCATCTTGCTGCTTCTATACCTAACAGTTGGTGAAAATTTTTGCAGATTCCTGCTGAGCCCGAGGCGTAGGAAAATCAATATCAACTTCTGTTATTAACATTTTTATAGACAACTGTTTCATTCCCAGCATTAATTAAAATTGTAATGCTTCAATAACGGTAATAATTATTGAAATTCATCGTAAACGGGTAAATTTATTAATATTGCGGTAAATGCAGGGTGAATTTATCGTATTCGGGGTGGAAAATCAATAGAAGTTTCCGGGAAATTCCGCGAGAGGCGCGACCTCGGGGGAGGTTCAACGGTTTTGATTCATCTCGATTTTGTAGGTGGGTTTTGGAGGAGCATTCGTTCACCAGCTCGCGACGGAGCGACTCTTCGTTCCTCGGAAAAACCGTCTAAAAACATCGAAAGTGTCAAAAAAAAAAATAACCTAAAAATCTAAAACCTAAAATGAACGATCTAAAACTAAACTCGAAGAAACCAAACCGAAGCAACAATTAAACAAATAACGCTAAAACGAACCTCTAAAATGTAATCGAATTAAAAAATCGTTTGCATATCATTTTTTTTGATCGAATATTTTGAAACTTCGCAACTGACTAGTTCTAGAAGAAAGTCCTACAGTAGTATTTTTGATACCGTTATTCGGGGCCATTTTATAAAAAAATACAGTTATTTTTAGACAAAAAAAAAACCTCTAGTTAAGTATAAAACCTTTAGATTGTTGATGTTATTACATTTATATAATAGTTAGTTGTATGTGCTCAATTAGGTAAATTAAATGTCTACATATTATATATTTTATTAAATGTACTTTTTGGGGCCAAATCCAAATCGCCAAAAGACTTCCCCAAAAAAATCAAAAAAACCAATTAACCAACCGAACACTCACCGCACAAATCGCATCCAACTTTCTTCGACATTCCATCAAACTTCTCGAATTGGTCCTCGAAAGTTTCCCCGTTATAGTCGTTCCTTTACACCGTCGATGTAATCGATGTTCTTCGATGTCTAGTTCATGTCTTTTCGTGTCGTCCGATTGAATTTCCTCCGCGTATTTTCCTCGCGATCCACCGGCTATTCGAGTTGGGAATGGCAAGTGCAGTACTGGAAATCAAGCCCGCCAAATCCGTCGTTGGTACCGTCAACGCGCTGCCCGAAGGCGAAATGGACGCCCTTTTGCTAGGAAGGACCCGGGTAAGTCCCTTTAAATTTACCCTAAATTTACCCCTATTAAATAATCTATCGAATTAACTACAGTTCCTGATGTAGAATAATAAAATTGGCGGGTTTGGGGAGCATTTTTTAACAGGCGAAAGTGGCCGGATTCGTCTCGATCGGACGGGAAATCGATGGAATTACTTTTTCCATTAGGGAATTAATTAGCGCGATTGGGAATCCTGTTAGTCTAATTCATCGGGCGCCGATTGTACAACGCGAAACCGAAATTTAATAAACGATTCGTGATTAAAATCGTTAAATCGGCGATTTTATTAGTGCTCTAAGTAACGAGGATAATGAGGCGAAACGATGAATTATGAACCGATTTTTTTACAGCGCAATTACTTCAAGCTTCCAGTTCCAGATTGAATTTAATAACTCGTTTTTAGAGTTTTTTAATGTATATATTTCGCGAAGAGTGTATTATTTCGAGGGAAAACCGCGAGAAAATCCATGATCATCCATCTAATTTCGCTTTGTTATCAATGAATTCGATGTTTATTAAACACCTGTTGAGCGCCGATGATTCGGAGAAATTTCTTCGAGTAACCCACGAATATTATGAATGGTTAATTGCAAAATGTTTCTCTCGACATCAAAGTAACTGAATTATCCGGTTTTTCTTTTGGAAAGTTGTTTGTGTTAATAACGTTTTTCAAACTCTATTTTTGAGCCTTGATATAAACGTGGTAGGTTAGTTCAAGGGGGGTAAATTTCCCATGTCTGATTTTTAATAAACGTCTAGAGTTCTTAGGTTATAATGCTGGTATTTTGATACTCTCTGGAAAATAATTAAAATTCCAGAGAGCAGGGAATATTAATATCTACTCCCAAGATTAGTATCGTTAGGATCCGTTTTATGTTCCCTTCAGAAAGTAAAACTTGAGTAGTTAATTAAGTTTTCGATATAAACGCCTTACTATTTAGTGATTATGACTATAACTTACAAACTTTACTAGTTAATATACTTACTTACTATCTCATTATATTAAAAATTCAATTAAATACAACCCTCGTCGAATAGAATGATTTTTATCGACTCTGAATTTTATTATTTTCCGGTTAACCTCGGAGGAATGATCGACGAAGGAAAACAACAATAATCCTCCCTCGGTTTTCATTAAAAACCTTCGCCCGATCTGCAGCCTTTCTTTTCTTATTAATTTAACTGCTATCGACGTTTAGTATAAATTGTTTCGCTCGGCGTCCGGACGTTTGATTAGAATTTTATATAGCAATTCGACGATTTCGGGAAGACAAGGTTTTCATTTTATTTTTTTCCGTCCAAAGGAAAAAATACGACGACGGGACATCAAAGGATCAACGAGCGTCCTTTTGTGCAAGCCGGATCTTGTCGAAATAAGCTGTCTTTTAACGACATCGTTTCCGAAAAAAATTGGGGAAAAATCCTATAACCGAAAGTTTCCCAGTTGGAAAATTTCAGAAGTGTTGAAGCGTATATAACTAAATACATTTTTATGGATAAGATTATTGGTTTGTTTCCAGAAGCTCGAACGAATATAACTTTTCCGAATCCCAGAGATTGATTTATTTCTATTCTTATACCGGAATCCCTCCACTTCTAAATATTGTATGCCATGTAATCGAGATGGGATCGGAAGGTTAGGGAATACAGCATTCGGGTGTATGTAACACAAAAAAACGCCCGAAATTAAAATCAGGGATTTCCATTTTCCATCCAGCTTGAAATTCAATGAAAATTTAACAAGCTTTTGTATTGAAAATTTAATGATTTATTAATTGAACATCGTAATTAGCGAACTAAATCGAATGAAGCGTAAGTAGCGATGCGAACAAACAGGCGTTTTTCAATTACAATTAGTATCTCCAATGTTCCTTTTAATTTAATTAAATGGCAGACAGGAGCCCGGCCCTGATATAGCATCAACGAAAACCTAACGTCAATCCCGATTATTTTCATCCAATTTCTCCGGATATTCGCGGCTTTTGTTCGGAAACAGGAATTGGATTCACCTTTGGAAATATTTGCCACACAGGGCGATGCACAATTTATTTTTCCAAGCGTTTGAAACACTCAAACGATTGCAGTTTTATGTTCATTACAAATTCCACATCCAGAGGAACAAGTTGTAATTGAAGTAGGGAGAGGCGCTTAAAATTCTGATCCGAGTAGCTACATAAAACTTTTTTAACAGTCTCTAATTCGTTTTTAATGGCCGCCTCGCTTTCTCTCCAAAAACTCCAACAATATATCACTTTTAACATACAAAATTCTTATATACAGAGTGTTTTACGAAGCTCCGTTGTTTACAATGAGGATAATTCGTTTGACATAGTCAAAGATTTAGTGAAGAACATCCCGGTGGGATCGTTTTTTACGCCGAAATCGCCGGATAAAAAGTCTACTTCCGAGAACAATGCGAAGGTAATCGCGTTAGGATTACCGAAAGAAAAGCGACCGAGACAAATTGCTGGTTGATAAACGTGTGAAGGGGGATAACCGGTATATGTGAAGAGCCCCGTCGAAAGATCGAAGGAGATAAAAGTCGTTTTAGGTCGTCGTTTTGCATCTCCATTCGTTCCGTTGGAGGAGGATTTTTATGGACCGCAAAAAAGATTTCGAAAAAAAGATTTCTCGGGTTTTTCGGAGCCTTGATGTGGCTAACGAGTTATATGGCGAATTCCGAGAAGAGGTAGATAGATTTAGCAGCGCTGGAATTTTCCATCGGCGAAAATTCCGGATTATTATCTGAATATTCAACAATCAAGCTTCATGAATTTAATATTTTGCAACTCAAACAGACGAGACGAAGACACAATTTTCCGATGGATTTTGAAGAAAATTTGAATTTAATTTGAATTTTACTCCAGCTAATGTAGCTCATAATTCACTTTGACGCCCGTTATGCATTTTTTTAATAATATTTACCTCATCTATCCCACTTCTGATTTTTGAATAATAGCTCATAAATAGTGTGCGTAAAATAAAACAGTTTATTTCAATTGAACTAAAAATAATCCAGAAAAATTGCTTTATGTTTATATCAAACTGTAATATAAAGTTAGTGCGGCGTATCCCTGAAATTCATATTCTCCCTGTTTCCCAAAACAATAATACAATATGAGCGTCTCTGTCTCCATGACGACGCAATTGATTTGCTATTTAGAGCCACTTTACTCCCGGCATACAAGAGGTACATTAAATTTTTTTTATTTTATTAACGAAAAAATGGCGCGCTTTAAATCACATTAACCGTCAATATCGATTCGAAATCCCGGCATTTCTATCATCAACTTTCTATTATAACTACACTGATTGATATAAATGGTTCCACCGTGGCGTATTTTCAATTTACTCTAAACTATAAATAATGGCGGAGGCGCCGCTGGGAATTTTTTTCAACAAAAATCCGAAACATTTTTATTCGAACATATAGAGTTTTCAATCGGAACTGTGCGGCAATAAATCGGCGAGAAAATAGAAGAGTGTTTGGGGGCTTTTACGGCAATTAGTTCCGACTCGATCGCTTCTTTAATTTTAAGTTTCATCTGCTGGATCGACGCAAAAAGAACGGCAAGAAAAATACCCAATCTCTCCGGTTCATTTTCCGCCGACGGTTTTTCTGCATTTTCCGCGGTGTTTAACATGAAAGGAAATCGTAAATAAGAGCGAACCGAACGAATATGTCAGTGGCGTAATTAGTTTTCTTCGTTGTTAAGAGCCTCGAAAATTGGATGAATTTCGCGTAAAACAATTTTCGAAGTAATCCGCCGCTGGGAAATCCCCGGCTGCATTTTTATTTTCACACAAAAAAAAAACAGCGCGAGAATAATGCGATCGGTTGTCAAAAGCGATTTTTTTTATTTCCCCCTTTCATTCCAAACGCTATAAAACACACAATGAAACTCGTTCGATTCAACGCTGAATTTTTCTATTCGATCCTCCAGACGTCGAAAAAAAAATAGGATTTCGCCCGGCATATTTCAACTACTGGATGTCTTCTCGATCGAATCATCCGAATCATTCCGGATTGTTACAAGCAGAGGGGTCGCAGGGAAATCGAATTTCCCTTCCACGCGGCGCGTTCGGGAAAAATCAAAACGTGTGAATCCCGCCGGATCCGCTAATCAGTTTCCCGGGAGGCTAAACGAAACGAATTTCGTCGATAACTTCCAGTCGACCGGCCTTCAACAGCTTTCACCTCGATAAGAATTCGAGAACGATTAATTTTCCTTTCAATTCTAAACCGCTTTTACCGCCTCAAACAAACTCGTTCGAATCGCGAAACGGCCACTTCGAGGATTCGATTTGATGGAGAAGTTATTGTGACATAAATTTTTTGTTGTTGAGAGATTGAAAGATGTATTTTTGACGAAGATATTGCAGGAAACGTTCGTTCGAGTAGAAATACAGAAATTTCGTTACGGAAATCGATTCGCCCGTTGCCGGTTTTCCACGCTAGATGGCGCGTTAACAACGCGCCAAATTTTCTGCAGATACTTTTACAAACTACTTTAAATACACCATTAAAACTATCCATATACTGTTCGTTCGATCGCTTCCGGGACAAAACCGAATCAGCTTCGACGTCGACGGTAATTGCGCCATCGGTGACCAGCCGGTGGAAAATTGCAAATCCCCACAATGGCGAAAATTCCCCGGACGCTTACCAGAAGGTCAGGCACACGCCCATGACGACGTCGCCATGGCGACCCTGTCGCATCATAACCAGGAATCATCGGCGATGAAGGAAACGTGCAAATCAACAGGCTGTCGTTGATGCTCCGGTCTGGATATATCATTCAATCGTATAAGACCCGTTTCGGACGCGACCGATTATCAGCGCTGATCTGTACTGTCCTGAAACTGAGCTGATCTGCTATATCGTGTATAAGAGACAGGTGTTTATTGGCTTTATTTCTGGTTGTATTGCGAATTTCCTTTGGGGGCGCGTCGAACAAAAATATTCATTGGTTATTGGAATTTTAAAATATCTGGGAAATATCATTTCTGTAACTTCGTAGCGCATTTTGGCGGTGTTTGTTCAACTCGCGTTCAACGATTTCTGTGGGATTACAGTTAAATAAATTGGCGGTTTCATTTGTATGTAAAATAACATTTGACCCCCGAGGCTGTTTGGTTGACGGAATGCATTTATTCGAGTCTAATATATTCCGTTCGTACGTGTTAAAGGACCCTGGTTATGTCATTCGATGGAACGCGGACGTTTCCCTGTATAAAGAGGTCTGATCCCCTCTAATCCTGAATATAATGCCGGTCGCTCGGTATGCAAGAGCAAGCGGAGCGGTTAGATTGAATGGCGTTGCGTTTAGTTTATTTTTGTCTTGGCCATTTTTGAGCTAAAAGTGAGTCGAAATTTTCTTCGGCTTCAATGGAAATTCGTATATTCGCGCTAATGAGAAGCGCCGGTTAATAATCCCGTTTACGTGCTATATATTTTTTCGAAGGCCTCGTTCGATTTTCCCGAAGCGAGAAAATCTCGGTAAACAATGTCGATTTGCTCGAAAATATAATGTAGAGTCGCGTCTCGAGTCCCTAGTTACTCCATAACAACCAATGTAAATCTGTCAAAAGTCAAAGAATCTCCTTAGTTACTCCATAGCAACAATGTAAAACTGTCAATTTGAAAGAATCTCCTTAGTTACTCCATAACAACAATGTAAATCTGTCAATTTAAAGACGCCACTTTAGAGTTTTCATTTCCTTCTCAATGGCGACTCCTTGTATAAAAAAACGATCGATTTTACGTGATAATAACGCAATTTTTTCGTTACATCCCAATGTAAATACGTCTGACACACTTTTCACCTGCCGCATGAAATCCACTTAGGCGCGGATGTTTATTTTTCGGGGAATTCCCCCACACGTTAACTCGAATGCGAATTTTCGAGGAAGTTAAGACGTTCCGAACGATCGGACGTCGTACACGTCGAATTACACGGCCCATTTCGAGTGCACGAACAGGACGTAAGAGGAAATTCACGGTAAATTAAGAAGCAGGATCAAAATAGCCTATCAATTTGCCAACGACTTCCTTTACTTTCAACTTCTGTAAATCACGGTGTATCATTAAAAAAAAGCGGTTATTGTGGTTTATTGAGTCTCCTATTATCCTTCTTTCGTTATAAATTAATTTTATCGTAAATCGCTAGGATTTTTTTGTGATATTCGCTAAATAGGGGACCGGTATAGGTCGTTTGAAATGCGGTAAATTGCGAATATATCTATAAAAAAAATCGAAGCCAGGAGGGTGTAAAAATAGACTAATTGCTAAGGAATCGTTCGTCCTTGAGGCTCAAAGACAACCCATCGAATTCCAGGATTTTAGTCCGATAAAGGCTTTTTTTATAGCCCGACCGTTCGATTCCTCGATTCCAATGCAAATTCGCTTATCCCCTACTCCATCTCTGCGATTCATTCCCCGTCCCATCGCACTCTCAAATCACCAATTTCTATATCATTCGATTAAACAAATCAGTACAAACTCGCCACGGGACAGGTGAAAAACCCGCAAGGAAATCGACTCGCCGACGTTCCGGGGACACCCCTCCTGGTTTTCCGCGGACGCTGCAGTAGGAAAAAGCCGGCGCTCGGGCACGCCTACCAGCAGGAGCTGTGTGGAAGTCGCGCTCCTGCCGGCAGAGGATTCGAGCCGTTGCAGTCGACGCTCGAATTTCCACGAGGAGTTGCCGCAGCGACGGAGAGTTTTCCGGCGCGTTTTCTCGCGAGTTTTCGTCCGGGGTTCGTTTGGGGTGTGTGTGTGCTTTTAGGTGGTTGATGTAGGGGGATGTTATGGGGTTTAAGAGCGGTCGGTTCGGCTGCGATTTGCGGGGGATTAAGGGTATTTTTTTTGTTGTTGATTTCGATAGTTGCGTTTCGTTGGAAAAGTCTTTTTAATGTATCTATTAACTCGGTAAATGGAGTTAATGGAATCGAATTAAAGGTCTATTGATTGGAAGTCGAATTGTATACTTATAAGCTTCTTTAGGAAGGACAAAAAGCATCAGGCAGGAGGAAATTGGAGCACGTGTGTTGTGTAAATTAAGACTTGACGTGTGATGGTTTCGCTAATGGAATAACATCGTTGTATTCGTTAAGTCGAGTTTTTTTCGTTTCGAATTTTTTTTCCTGCAGAATAAATTATTCAATATTCCATCGGGGGGTTTTATTAAAAGCGAAATATGCATTCGGAGGATCCGGCTGTTTTATTGGAAAAATGGAATTAATTTGGTCTCTCCAGCTTGGATGAAATTCTTGGATTTTTATAGGAATTTCTTTAAATAATTGAGAATAATTTTTGTATGTAAAATTGCACGGAACAACTAATGTTGGTTTCAATTTATTTTTAGCGGACGATTTAAATCTAAAAATGTACAAGCATCGATTTTTTTTTTTTAGTTTGGCTGCAATTCGGAGGATGTTTTATTAATGAATTTAAAAATTTATTTACGCCATTTTAACCGAAACTACGCGACACTATATAACTCAATTACTCGGTTAATTTATTGTTCGTAAAGAAATAAAATATTTAACGATTTCATTTGATGAATTAATCACCGAACAATGTTATATTTAAACTAGAAATAGAACCCGCGACGATTCAAAAAATAGATTATACTGCGTAATAATAAACAATTTTACTACTTCATTAAACGTTTATTACGATTTCTATTATCCTGGTAAATATATTATATTAAAAATACCCGACCTATTTTAATTAAGGGCTGTTATTTGGCGAATAGCCAGTTTATTTTCCAATGAAACGCAATATTTTCCCCCATTTAGAAAAATTGATTTCGATTTCGACAACCGGTATTGTACTCGAAAAACTTTGATGTTGGTTGACCAGCAGAATGAACACCGTTCAGAGCACAGGCGGGGGTGGACATTCGACCAACAAAAAGGACGACAGGAATGAGGTAAATTAGGTTAATTACGCCGTTTTTGCGGTATATAATAATAGGAAAACTTCGCTGTTTTTTAATAACGCCTGTGGGATATTTCCCATCCATGATGCAGCAGAAAACAGTCCGGCTTAATTGGAGAATTTATATTATAATTATGTTGTGAATAAAAATAGTGTAATAAAAAAAGCGGGTATTCCCTAACATTGTTTTCTTCATAAATGTTTTTCTGCATGTTCCGCAGTTGATTAAATCTATAGCATTAATTCCAAGGCGACAATTCTTATTTATATGGTAAAAAGCGCTGTAATCAAGAACAATATGGGTTGAAATAACTCACTACTATAATTATGAAAATTTTCTATTTCAACAAGCTAATACTAATATATTTTTCTTATTTTAACTATGCGACATTTTGTGATTATCCGTGTAAATATTAATTCATTTATCTTGCTGAACTCATGTTTGAATAATTAACGAATTGTGTGTTAATCAACTTAGTTCATTAGCCGAAAGTTTTGCAAATCATAAATATTAGGTACCTAACCGCAGCGTTCTTCAGACTTTCATTATGTTTCTCGAAAACGAGTAGAGACGTCGACCATATTTCTTGCAGAATTTAATATGGAAGTTTCTGCGAAGGCCGAACGAGAGTATTAGTTATTCATCTATCGAAAACTTTAGGGAAAAATGCGAAATTGCAATTATTTCGGGTGGAAAATCAATTGAAACGCCAAATTCTGGCGCAACTCCCAATTACTGGCATCTGGGTAACGATTCCTAAAAGTTTCTGGATAACTACCAAGCGTAATACTGGGTAAAAAAACTCGTAAAATCTTCTCGCGTGCCCGAAAAAACATTTCCCCGCGAATGTCTGGAGAGCAGTTTAATAAATTCCCAGCACATTATTAAGGGATTTTGCTCGCTGAACTGCGCGAAATTCCGATTTTGAATAACCAACCCGAGGGCCTTAAAAAATTCACCACATTCGCTTTATTATTTTATTGCCTTGTAGCTCAAACACTCAATTGATCAAAGAGGATTCCAACCGAATTTTCCACCAAAATTAATAATGAAAATAACTGCAGTATATTTCGCTTTGATACAATTAAACTTTAAACAATATTGTTACACTTACCACCACGATTAGGTACTTACGTTAATTCAACAATATAATCTACAGATAACGAGATTTTCGTAATAAAATCAGCAACAAAATCTAATCAGTTCACCTAGTTATTTCACACACCAAACCAGTTTCTGTAAACCATGGAACTGGACGATTTACAAACGCGATTAATCGAACAAGTAGCCAAAGAAAACGGCTTCGACGAGTACGAAATCGACCTGCAAGCGGCCGTGCAGAAGGGCGACAACTTCATGGGCAAACTCCTGCGATTGAAAATCAAAAACGCCTCCAAAACCCTGCCGATGATCCTAAAAATCGCCTCCACCAACGCACTCCAGCGGAAGATGCAACAAGCGCGGACCGCCTTCCTGCGCGAGATCTACCTCTACGACACCGTCTTCGAGGAGTTCAGGGCGTTCGAAGACCAGCACCGGATCTCCCAACCGTTCCGATCCCACCCCAAGTTCTTCGCCGAATGCACCGACGAGCTCTCCGAGATGCTCGTACTCGAAGACATGAAGGAGAAGCACTTCCGGATGTGCGACAAAAAACTCACCATGAACTCCGAACATATAGTGGCGGTGCTCGAGGAGTACGCCAAATTCCACGCCACTTCGCTGGCGATGCGGGCGAAAAACCGGGCGAAATTCGACCACTTAACCGCCCATCTAACGGACGTCTTCGCCGAAAACATGAACCAAACCGGCCCCGAGATGACCCATTTCGTTAAGCTGCTGTTCGAGCAATTGATCAAATCCGTCGAAGGCCACGCCGAGGCAATCGAGATGCTGGAAAAATTCGAAAAACACGCCCTCGACGGAGGCGCCTTCAAAGAACAATTTCCCGAAGGAAATATTGTAGTAACCCACGGCGATTGCTGGTGCAATAATTTATTGTTCAAGTACGAGGTAAGGTACAAACTACGCAACAGATAAGTACCACAAACGTTGATAATTCACTAGATTACAACACATACCTAGATAACAAAAGTATTTTTAGAACGACGAAGCGAAAACACCATCAAACGTTTGCATAATCGACTGGCAGTTGTCCAAACTAGGAAGTCCTGGAGTCGATTTGAATTACTTCCTGCTCGCCAACGCGCCCCCCGAAGTGCTCGACGACTACGAGACATATTTGCGAATCTACTACGACGTGCTGGAGCGCAAACTGGCCGAATTCGGCTGCGATCCCCAGGAGGTGTTCACCTTCGATGAGCTGCTGGACCACTTCCATCGATTGGGGCCGAAGATGCTCTTCATGTGCACGATGGTGATGCGGATCGCGCTGAGCGAGCCCGACGAGGCGCCCGACTTCGCCAACGATTTCGAGGACGAGAAGGATTTCGCGAAGATGATCGATAAGGACATCAACAGCATGGACGAGTTCTACAGGCGGTTGGGTTGCATCGTTAGATTCGTCGCTGGGAATAACTCTAAGATTGTTTGATGGAAGATGGATAATAAAATTGTTAATGATGGTGCTTTAATAGAATGCTCACTCGAGATATGTTCCTGACATATTTTTCTATACATCTATCTACCTATTCGTTGACGTTGAATTCCGGGGGAAATTCCAAAGCATCGCGAATTGAAATTCTATCCAATATCAATATCGATGACGATATCAATGAAATCCATTTTATATACAATTGTCAAATTTAATTCGGACGAAATTCTATCCGGATTTTGCATTAGCTTCAATATTGGTTCGTGCAGTTTCAATTTTATTTACTATTTACATCAATCGAATTCGATTTGTCAACCAATTGTAATTCAATGTATTATACAAATCCTCGTTGGTTAGCTAGTAAACTCAAAGTATTGATTAGCTCGACGAAAGAAGCTTTATTGCAAGATAATTATGGACGTTGTAGGTGAGTCCTTATTAAGCGAGATAAAACCTCCACAAAGTTTTCTCTCATTAAAAAAAAAACGATGTTTCCTTCGGGCTGTACTTGCAGCTTGCTGTATTATAACAAGGAAATTCCGATAATGAGCTTTTCGTTATAATAACTCCAATTTAATGGTGAAGCGTTTCTATTTTTTTAAATAGCATGTATAGCAAATAGGTATAGATTAATCAAACGGACAGTTATGTAACTGACAACGGTTAATTACAAATTCATCGGCATTCCGGGCACGCACGCACAGTCATCATTTTTCTTGCGGAAAATTCTGCATTAATTTCCATAACGCCCGTAATCCTGCAACGCTCCATTCGCGCCGGCCGTTCCGTGATTTACCACCGCAATAATTAACCGAAATCTGACAAATTGTAACATGTTTGTTTAAAGTTCCGCCCTGCTCAAGGCCGGGTCGAGTTTATATCTGTGCAAAAACTGTACCCTTAGTTATTATAACAGGGTAATTTACCTTATCCTTAAATCAAGGCGTTAAATTTTGCTAATTTTCTAAATGGGACACAATGGATTCCCCCGTTGCTTCTCTAATGAACAATTGACAGAGTAGAGAAATGTGTAATTAGTATAATTTTTAATAACCGGCTCGATTTCGTTTGAAAAATACGACCGAACTCGGAAATCTAATTAAGAATAAACCATTCATTACGGAATGTTAATAGACGTTTAGAACCGAAGGGAAAAACTCGTTAATTAAGAAACTTAAATTGCTTAAAAAGTCCCTGGACAACTTTTTAAATGAATTTAGATTATTTCCCGGGCGTCATTGTCATTGGGTATACCAACTCATCGACTAGATGATTTATTATTAACTCAACAAGTAGCCTATTAGATCGGGTTAAATGAAAATTTCGAATGTTCAACGTCGGCGATTCCGGGCGGGAAATTTGTTTATTTTTGTGCGCGAAAATTGAGTAAATTTATTAATTGGCTAACGTTTGCGAGATTTTTTTTAATGCTGTTAAAAGAATTGGGTAATGAACGGGGGAAGTAAAATTCTGCGAATCATCGCGAAAAACATTTAATCTAACGGGGTTAATCAATCAATCAATCAATCCGGATAATTGCGTGTTAGCTGACAAAGCTTTAGGAAAGGAAAATGATGAAATGGCGTTTTCTGGAAAAAATAAGACGAGTGTTTGCTTGATCCGTTTATCCGCGACAGCTTCGATGTTATTACACAATAATTATTACAATTTAAACTAATGAATGTCAGTTTATTTATTTACTATTTTGAGTGAGATTCGTATTTACTACCAACCATTATTTTTAAATCGTCCTGACATGTTATCCGAAGCCCCGATTCGAATAAACATTCGAATTTCATCACTATCTGTTATTTTTGCTGGATGCAAACACATTTATGTCGATTTATAGTCTTGATGTTTGAAGTAAATTTGTTTATCGATGGACCCGCTACACAGCAAATACAAAACCGTTTGGAAAGCGCAAAAAGCTGCTTTATACAGAAGGAATTTCCAGAAACATGAATGGAAAGCGAAATTCAATTAATTAAATTCTCGCGTAATTCGCTTTGTTAAATCGTCGAAATTTCACGGTTAAAAATTATTCACAGACATTCTAAAACGTCCTGTATTAACCGCGCTCTATTCTATTAACATTGCAAATAATGTATACATGCACTTTCATAAATTAACTAAAGCATATTTGCATAGCTGAAAGGATGAAGGAGGACCATAATTCATTAGCAATTAGTTACGTTCAAACGTATCCTGACTAATTATTAATTAGTCCTCATTTGAAGGATAATTTCGTTGGTATAAACAATTTTATATTTTCTTTATATGCGACATTGTGGGGATTTAAAAGAGGAAAAATTCCATCACGCCGGTATTTTCCAACGAATATGACGAGTTTAATTACTCATATTAACCCGGCGTAGTAAAATGTAATGTTCCCTTTTGTCCCTAAAAGCTTTTTGACGTTCTTGTAATAGGTTGAAAGTTGCATCTGCATATTTACAAACCTTTGATTAATAGTATTCAAACGATCTGTAACTTGCAGATTCGATTTAAACACCTACAGGGGGATATTTAGTAAGTATAAAGGAAATGCAAACTTCGTAATTTCCATTTACGTTTGCATTAAGTGTAAATTATCTCGGTTAAATGCCTTGCAGCGTGGCGATTGCTCGATTTTAATATATTCGTTGGAGTTGAAGTTGCATTTTGGTGCATCTCCTCGAAACCGGTTAAATTATGAACCGCTAACTCTCTTTTGAGTAAGTTTCAGATCGGTTAACTTTTGTTATAATAGAGGTTTAGTTTGGTACTTTTTGTTTGCGAGATATTACTGCACTTTCAAACTGTTGTTGTTACAGTAATTGTTTTTCTACCTGGAGGAAAATTGTGTTTTTGTGGCGATAACGTTCGAATTAAAACGATTTACGGGGAGTTTTATTCGATTTCATGAACTCGATCCGATAAATATTAGTTATTTGCTTTCAGCGCATTCGCCAGTCTGCATACAGTTTTTTAGCATGCGCTTTTTTTGTATTCCATTCGTAAATTGCACGAGAGCAGCTGCGACCGAGAAAACACTGGAAATTGCCTTTTTTTTAAACAAGTTTTCGCGTAATTCCGATGCATGAGATTTCGAACAATTTTTGTACTTTTTCGATAGTTTGTATACTTTGAATTACTCGGCCTCTGACCCTCGTAGGTTTCCAGTCACTCGCGAAATGTTACTTTGCATCGCAGTCGTAGTGGCATGTAATTATTTTCCGGTGTTATATTAGGATCGTAAATATTTATAAGCATTTTCCATCCAAATTTCCATCGCGAAAAATTCGGAATTGCGCCCTTTGAGCAACCCTTCCGCGAACAACCGGCGAATAAATTCCGGCTTTAGCCGAACGAAGAATGAGTTTTTTCAAGAAACTTTGCCGAAGAAAAAGTCCGAGTGGTTCGTAAATTTAATTTTCTCCCTTCGCTGTAACAGGAATCTGCAGCGCTCCCGCTAATGCCTCCCCGGCATCAGTCATCAATAAAAGGAAACACTTTGGCGAGTCGGGGAGTTTTTTTTTTTTCGAAAAGTTTTCCTGCCTTTTGAACTCGCTTCGGCGTTTTCCTGCACGTATGGGACAAGTTTTTTCTGTTCAATTCCATTACTCCATATTCTCATTTATCACCGTGTAATATTTCTTACATTATATACCAATTATCTTACTGTATCATGCAAATATATTATTTTATATAAAGTAATTCTATAGGTATATGAGTAGTACAAAAGAGCAATTTGGCGGTTTGAAATAAAAGAATATAATGGTTGCCATCCATTAGTGTGAAAGCCTTTTTTTTTGAATTTTTATTTTTATAGGCTTCTCGACTTTTTCCGTTCCCTTTTCTCTCGTCCCTAAATACCTACATCTTTTTAACAGCGCAAAATGTATATTCTTATTTGAATCGGGTTTTATTTTTCCGTCTAACAAACCATTTTCGGGGCGAAATTTTTCGTTCGAGCACAAGGAAAAACGAAATTTTCCTAAACAAAATGTTTGGTAATTTACAACGATTTAATTAAGTAGAAATTTTTTTAATGCTCCTCATAATTTATGGCGTGTTTGTAAATTGTTCGCAAATTGCGAGAGCTCATAAAATTGATTAAGTTTCTATATAGCGAAAAGCGGGGTGGTTTTGTTTGTGTAGTTTTTTATTAATAAAGCTCGTTAATTAAAAAAGCATCTAATTAATTTTAAATCTGAGCGAGTTTAATACAAATTCGAAGTTTTAGGAAGAAGAAAAGTTTCCAAATGTATACCAACCCTTATACAGGATTATGTTTATTATACTTTATAATTATTTATCAGCTTCATTATTATACTAAAATTGAATTAACCGGTATCTCCATCTTCGAATTCCCGAGCACTATAATGGAAAGCTTGTTAATCCACTAGATGGCGCTTACTGCATTCACAGAACATCTACTTTCCTCCACAGAACCCCTACACTTTCCACCATTTCCATTGATTTTAATGGCAGCTGAAAATAGTACACGGAGTTCCCCAACAGAGGGCAGAAACTCTCGGGGGTTTTCATTGATTTTCCACCGTGGATTTCAGAAGGAATCTTCTACCAGTTTCAAAATTATTTCAAAGCGCAAGGCGTTGTTTAATATACCAACAAAAATGTATTTTATTCTTGAATTATTTTGTTTGAGAAAATGTAATTATCTAATAAAATTAGAAACGAGTAGATTATCTGCATCATCAAAAATAATGTTTATTTTTGCTACGAATGTATGACACGAACGAAATCTGTTACATTGTAGTTTAATGAAGAGATATAAAGATCGTAAAAATTTTTATTTCTAATGTCGAAGCTGACACAACGAGAGATTTAGCTTTGAGCGCCACCAGGCGGCATTTGTTGGTTTTATTTACGTTTTATTTACTCGAAACGGTTCTTTTAATTGCTTCGCTTACAGCATGTCGAATGGGACAACAACAGCTCAGCGAATTTTCCTGTACACATTATTTAATTACCGCTATTCGATTATTTACCTGGCGCAAACGAGATTAAAAGGATTGATTAGTTCGCTACCAGGCGAGCAGTCATTCGATTATTCCCGGCAAATTCGAAGCCGAAATAAGAGAAACATAAGTTTGAGACTTTAATTAAATCATTTCCTTCGATGTTTGTTCTGTGTGTCTTTGTTCTAATTGTTTACCCTTTAGGCGCTCGTGCGAGGTAATTATAGAGGCCATTTTTGTCTGATTTTTGTGCCAAAATTGTAGCTCCTAAAATTCCGAATCGGAAACAGGAACACATGTTTCTTTGATGGATCGAAATTGGATATCTTGGATGTAATTTTTATCGTCATTCTCTTTATCGAAGCGGACGGGAAATATCCTATTGGGGTTTCCCTTCGAATGAAGGTAGAAGAATCGTCGAGGATATCCAATTTTGATTTTTATCTCAGGTGACTGACCGTAAAGTTTAAAACAAACGACCCTCGTCGGGAATATAAGGAGACAACCGACATTAAATAGATTTTCCAATGGTAATCCAATGGGATTTCTGTGGAATTTCTGTGGGGCCGAATCGCTTGCTTTATGTGGGTTTGAAAAATGAGGTTTATACTCGAATATACAGGTTAAATATTACACGTTTTTTCTCTTCTATTGCTTGAGTTAGATACGAGTTTTTTATGTAGGTATTGTTTTAAAGAAATTTTTCATTTAAGGACACCCCGATTTGAATTATTCACGACAAACGAGACGGGGGAATACCCCGTAATTTATTCGAAACTCGAAACTTTCCAGCCGCTTCGTTTCTTTTCATATAGTCCCGGATAGTTCTCGGTGCATTATTAACGAGAATTTAATCGATTCGAAAAGCAATCGATTTATTTCTGGACGTTACAATGTAACCAAGAATCACAGCAAATTGTTAGAAACCCATCGGGTTTAAAAGTTGCATCCCTGGGTTATTATTTCGAATGGATATCGCGAGGAAATAGTGCGGATAAATTCCACCGGATTATCTCAGTTCAAAAAAAAGTTTTTGTTAATTAAAATTAGCAGTTTCATAAAAAAAATGCATAACCATTCCAATACAGGAATTATTTGATTCAACAAAACAAGAGTATTCGAATTGCAATTTTTCGCCGAACGAAAACCATCCGGGAAAACCATCCGTGTTTTTTCCATCCAGGTTTTCCCCATCGACCGGTCGTCCCCGGCGCTTCGATTTTCCAGCCAATTTGACCGGACTAACCGGCCGAAGCGCGAGCGTCGCAGTTGCGTGGAGCCGTCCGCGGGGCCCGCTTTTCCGCCGGGAGGAAAACTGGAAAACTGGATGACTGGAAAACGCCGTCTGGCAGTTCGGGCGTTCGGTTCGAGTGGATAACGTGACGAGGAGGCGCCCGCGAAGAGCGCAACGTGTGCACGAAAACATCCTGTAATGTGACCGATTCCTTCGAGTTTTCCTTCGTTTTCCCTTCGAAAATCGCGCCGAGAAGTCCGGGAAAACCCTCGCAATAAATGTCCTGTAATTCGATGTGTCTTAAACGTGTTGACTGTTAGATGTTTAGCGTTAGATAAATGTATTTTCTATCGATGTTCGTGACGATGTTGTTTAGCAATATTTACTAGATTTGCACTATATTTTGTATTAAATAGTTGTATATATATTTTGTAAACGAGCCGTTTTTTTTGAACGCGTCGAAATGCCAGAATTGAGTAATAAAATCGAATTGAAATTTTTGAAGAGAATTAACAATCCTCGCAAGAGCGAGTGCAAGAGCGAGGAAAAATCGGGCGGTAAAGCGACTAATGCGAATAATAATCCGAAAAGTCCTGTAAATAGAGTGAAAATCGCTCCGAACGCCTACGTTGAGGTAAGAATTCCGATTTTTCAAACCTTTTAAACCCAATTCATCCACTATTTAAATTAATTATCAATCATTAATGAATAACTCGTTAAATTCGTTTATATCTTATCAGGCTTTTCAGGCTAATTGCCACAAAAAGTTCTTACCTTTAATAATCCAACAACACACTTTTAATGACACTTCATTAAAATCATGCAAACTTGGTTAAACGATTACTTTTCACCCAAATAAATCCAATTTGTAGAAATAGATATTTACCCGATTTAACACCATTAAATTTATTCGCGCGAATATATCGCAGGAAATCCGAACTCTTCGAACGGATCATTTTTATTACATTCCGGCTTAAAATATATTTTACTACCCTGCTACTAATAATGTATCGGATAAATTCTGCTAGGAATAGATTCGAAATTTCGCGTGATTCCACCTATGTATGTATATAAAATTACCTCGTGCCGACTGAGATTCGCGAAATTGATTCAACCGCTGTTTAAAACTCGAATCCAACCACACAGGGTGTCTGAAATTATTAAAATTCGCTGAATAGATTATTCTAGTTTTCGAAATTGAGAGAAAAATTTATTTTGTTGTCATTTAGCCAATCAATCAAAGGCTAGTCCTAGACATATGTCATGTGTCAATAGTCAGGTGACAGTTGTAAGTTGAAAAAAAAGAACCGTTGAGGTTTGAACAAAAAGTTATGAAGAGTTGTTTGGAAAATAAAATGCAATCAGGGGAGAAATGGAGGATCACGGAAGCAAAGTTTATCCAAAACAGATGTAAATATACTGCTCCACAAAAGTTAAGGAAGTTCACAAATATTGAGATTAATTCAAAAGTTGCAGGTTTTTTGATCGCCAAATTTAGTATGAGATATAAAGATAGGGGCAAAAAATCCACTCAGATATGAGAGAAAACATTTAATTTCGCATATTTGTCTGTAACTTTTAAAATAATCGCCAAATTTGCGACCTTCCTTAACTTTTGTGGAGCAGTCTATATAAATTTATTAGATATGCCTCGTGTATCGGCTACAATGGATCAAAATTTGATCTACTTTTAACGAATTTATAACGAACTGGCTTATTGTACAGCACCGTTTGCATCTAGAATAATTAGTTTTGCATATTAATCACATTGTGTATGTATTTCATGCTTTTGTGATGGATAAATTCTATTAAAAACCAGCAATATTATAGGCTTCGTTGCATTTTTGCCGGCAGAAATTAATGAATTGTGTCCAAACATTGCAAGAGCTTAAATAATTATGTCGTTTAGTTCGAGCTCATCAGATTTTATGGTAAGTTAAAATGACTTTGTATCGTATGAACTTTAACATTACGATTTCGCAATGATAAGATAATCCCTTAAGGGCGTTTGTTGCTTGTGTTCTGTGTAAGATAGAGTAGTTACGAGAATGGAAATACCGTGTTGTTTTATTGGAATATATTGCGGTATAATTTACATTATTCGAAATACTAGAGGAACATTTTTGTTACTAAAATTATTAAATTATTTCTCGCGATAATGGCAAAAGTAAAATCGTCGTTTCTAAAGCTCTACTGGTACAAAATTATTCGCCGTAATGTAATTATAGATTGTTTCCGAGATTCCATTCGAAAGTCTCCGCGAAAGTCGGAGAGTAATTCGAATAAGGGCGGCTTTAACAGACTCCGCTTAGCAGAGAAAGATTCGTAATAATTAATTTACGAGGAAACTTCTTCGGATACCTTTCGCGATGTTCGTGCGATTCCTTTTTATTCATCTTTCGAATTAAACTGCTGTTCGATCGAACCTGCCGTCGTAAATTCCCGTCGATTTTCGCAATAAACGGCAGGAGGCTCTCGAAGAGCCTCTTATCGCGCTGGAAGCATCTCGAGATGAATCTAACAAAGCCCCAACGAAACAATGAAGCTTTCCTTTTGGATTTTTCAGAGCTTCTTCTTTCGAATTTTCCACCGCCTTGCAACTTTCCGCGGGAAACGATGCAATAAAGCTGTTTTGTTGGGGAAGTTGCATTTGTATGTTTAGATGAAAAAGGTAGAGAGCAAACGACGTGAGGTATTATGCGATGTATGTAAACGGTTGTCGAGGATTTGTCCGCGTTTTAGTTTGTAAATAATATAAAAAAAAGGTTGGGCGAAAGGAAGAAGCGAAGCGGACGAAAATGCGGTTGGAATATCTAACTAAAAGTTCGAAGATACAACGAGGGCTTCGTCTATTTAAAACGGGATGTTTCCCTTTTAATACTAATTTGATGGAATTTTCTTTCCGCCGCTACTTTTCTCTTTACACCACGAAAAACACTTGCGTTTCTTTCGGTGTATAATAATTAAATTTGCTAGTTTTTTTTTAGCTCGCTCGAGTGTTAATTTCGGGCTAAATTCACAGAACAAATTTAACAATCCGGTGAAGTAAACGAGAAGATTCTCCGATTCTTCGATGCTCCTGCATCGAAATCCACTACTGAATTTATACCGATGGGATGGAGATGAATTTTTATTTATTTTTTTAGCGCGAAATAATTACCGCTCGTCGGTTGAATTATTTCGATTAAAACGATTGTTTCGGGTCGAATGAAAAAAAACTGCAGACTCGCCCGTTTAAAAATGCAAATGGGTGTCGCATTCGCGGGTTGTAAAACGTGCCGGAGACGAGCCAAAAAACCTTTGATTTATTTCCACTTTTTTCAGACATCGTTCGCAAAAAAACCAGGTAAATCATCCACGATTTATTCATCTGCTGGAAATCGAATCGTAACAGCAAACACCTTAAAAATTCGTCCGACTTTAACGCCTCTTCTCCTATTTATTCGCTCGCTTGTAAATAATTTAAACAACCCCCTGCGGTTTAGCAACTGCACAATTTCCTGCATAATGCAATTACTGCGTTCCATGCAACATCGCAACGTTATTACAAACGACCGGGGGGGTGCATGCATTAAAAACATTTCACCTAGTGTCGTGGAAACGCACTAAAAACCGAATTATTTCATCGCTCTTTAATAATCCGGGATCTCGCTCGTTAAAGATAACAGTCAAGCCGCGAAATAAATTTTCGGTTCAGACGGAGAGCTTAATTTATCGCGACATTCCGGCGAATCTGCTCGAGAGCTAATCAAATAAATTAGGCGCAAAGGAGTGGAACAATAACGATTACCCCGGCGTTTGTAAAACACTCGAAATCGAAGATCATCGCTTGCGATTAAAATTCCCGCGGTTTATTATAGACTGCGACTAATCGTTATAGGGACATAATGAAATCTGGAATCGGTCTCTAACCTCAGCTCAATTTATAATAAAACCGACTCTAGAGCCTCTATTTCAAGGCTCTATGAAATCCCAGCTGCGAGCTTACGGGAGTTGTATTAAAAACAGGAGGATTATTCGGAGCTTGTTAAAGCTGCGCGCGGGGAAATAACTTTGCCCTTGGTTTATTTATAGAAATTAAAAATCTTCAAACTGGAGAAAATAATCTTAATTAAGAATGGGTTATTATATTCGAATCGATAAGTAGAATTTATTAGCTTGGTTAAAAACAATCAACCCTTACTAGAGGCGCCCCAAAAACCCCCTTTATTATCCGAGTTTATGTAAATTATTAAAAAGGACACGTTTGTAATTTGGATATTTCGAAATAATTCGAGAATTTGGAGTAAAATTCCTCCAACCGAAGAAGATAAATCGTACATCCGATTAAAGTTTTAGGTTTATTAGAATTTTTATTGCGATATATTTTCATGTGCAGGACGATAGACGAAAATGCAACGTGACGTGGACCGTCAGGAAACCGATAAAAATTTTATTGGAATTTAATATTAGATGACTCTAAAAAGTGTTTGCTTGTAATATGAGATAAACATTGCAGGATATTGTGCGTTTCTAAAGTGCTATATTGATCCCTCGAGTTTCTCTATAATCGTTTGGATACTTCCACAAAGCGCTAATCTTCCTGTAGGAATGGATAAAATAATCTAAATTATTCGTTCCTTTGCCAAGCTAACAATAGATTCGAGTAGAGACTATTAAGCTGTATGAAAAAGAGATTTTTACATCGTTTCTCTTTTATCCCACTGTTATATTCTTATCTTATTCGCCCTGAGGTTCAGCATCTTCTAATACTTAACCGGGAGAAATAATATAATGTAAGGTAGACTGGGGCAAATGTAAAAATGGGGTAAATGTAATATTTTTACCTATTATGTTAATGTTTTTATTATTTTTATAGTTCTTTTGTGCATTAGACAGGGTTTGTTTCTTATTTTGTTTCTTATTTTCTTATTTTCTTTATTATTTTGTAGCTCTGTTATTTTTTGAAATAAATAAATAAACAGCATATCAAATTTTAGAGGAACCAAATATTTTTTTACAATTGCCCCATATCTTTTTCTATATAATTGTATTGCACTTTAGAACCCCATGGTAGGGGGTAAATGTAACATATTATCAACATTTTAAAAAATATGTAAAATCGTTTTCTTCCTTTTTCAAAAAAACTTTTTAATACCTCGATTCTTTAGTTTAGGAAGTTGTGAATTTAATGTGGTATCAGCATTTCTAATAAGAGAAAAAATAAAGCCACATTTTAGGATTTAATTTGAACTATACAAATTTTACAACCGATTTGCCCCAGTCTACCTTCATTTTGTATATAACAACTGTTTAATCTATGGTGTTGTTTTTTTTGTAGGAACTGGTGGTCAGTTCGCCCAACGAAAGGAACTGGAGAGGAATATTCATCGCCTTACTAGTAATCGTCGCCGTTCTAGGCCTAATCGTCTTCAGCATAGTTTTAGTTTCGCCGCCCGAGGAGGGGCCCAGAACGAAGGGGATCAAACCGACGCTGGAGGATATTTTCGTGAAGCTGCCGCCTCCGGCCAAATTCAATGGAACTTGGATATCAGGTAAACCAATTCCAAACTATATAGCGCGATTTCTGTTCCCCTTCCGATTCAATCAATCCGTTAATTCGGATTAAAATTCGAAGTTTCCCCGCGCCTCACAGAGGCGTCAATTACGGAGGTTTTTCCGAAGACTCTTTTAGCGGAAAATCGCGACTATAATTCATTCCCTTCGCAAGGAATTTCCCGTTGCATTTATACAATCGAGTCATTAGAATCCCAAACAACAAACAGACGTTTATCATAAAGCGCACTCTCGAACACCATTAGCAATCTCTTCAGGGGATTCCCATCCGAAATGGAGCCGATTTCTTTTACTTGATTAATCCTTAGATCGACTCAACTCGATTCCAAACTCACATAAATCACTTTCGCCGTTATATTTGCATCGAAATTTCGAGAATGGATAATAACGAGAGCGGTTATTACTCAAAGGTTTTGCGCTAATTACTCGACATCACGATCGATCGATAACACCCCCGTGCAATTAGCGGTTCGGTTTCTTCGGCGGGAAAGATCGCCTAGTATTTCGAAATGGAATTTTAGAAAATGAAAATCCAGCGGGGACGGCATCTCGAATCGATATTCGTTTCTATGGGAACGGAAACAGTGCGTTGGGCTTCGAATGGTCGAGGCGATTGGAGGTTTATTTACAACACATCGTCCCGATGTGATTTTATTTAATAAATTAATTGGGGGTTATATGGGATGAAATTGATTCGAGTGGAAATTCTAATGTAAAGGGGCGAGTTGGGTGTCGAAGCGAATAAATAGGTGGAAAATTGCGGAAGATACTCCGCGAAATGTGTTTTAAAAAAAACGTAATAAATTATTCTTATGGATTCATCGTTAGAGGAGCAAAGAGAATCGTTAATTTTATCATCTAGTTCGAGGTATTTTCATTGCAATATCAAATTTCGTAGAGACCAAATTCTTCTTTTATAACCAATTACCTCGACAGTATTACACCTGGTTAATATTCCTTCTTCATTTCATTAGCTATCTACTGCATCGTTAAAAATTCCATAAAATATCATAGGTTTATACTCTTTATACATATAGATTTTTCGGAATATAATCCTTCATAAAATTCTGATAAATAGCCCTCTGGCAATTCCGAATCGCGTCGGTACCGTCGCGAGAAAATGTATAATTTTCCATATATTTTCGGCTCAGAATTTTCTTTGGTCCTTTTTTCCAGATTCGGAGTTTGTCTACAAGGACGAGCACGGAGGCGTTAAGCTCTTCGATGCCGACAATCTGACATCCTCCACTATTATGACCAATATTACATTTGTAAGTATAATTTTTTTACCAATCGAAATCCTCATTTCAGAAGCACCTGCTGTTGTTTTAAAAGGGCGAGCGATAAACGCTCGGTGGAGCGTTAGGACGAAATCTTTCTACTATTATTTAAGGAAAGCATATTTTATGAGGTTGTTTCCGAAAATCTATGCGAGCTAATAAAAAAGAAAAATCGTCCGGAAATCGTTTCCTTCATTTCTCTTTTTTTTGCGGACGGCTTTAATAAATGATATATCCCGACGGGTTCGGGGGCGAATTTATTAAAGCCATCAGGTCCGTACAAAGTGATTTATTGTTTTCGAGATATTCTTCGCGATAATTCATTCATCAAATTCAATATGGCGTTTGTGGAAAGTACCGAGTTGATTCCATACCGCGAAATTGCGCGTGAATATTAAAACAAATTATAAACGTATGGAAATCGTTGATTTAATGGAATGTTTTTTTTTTAATTACGAATTCCAGTTGGAGTTCGGTTGGAAAGAAATCGAAAAAATCCTAAACAAATATTTAGTTGGTTAAAGGTAATATATTCCATTTGCAAAAAGGGTTTGAAAAACGAGGTAAAAAAAGTACATACACGTTGTATTTTCTCGGTTCTTATCGACCGATTTCCAGTCCAGTGAATCGAAATTCTCTAAAAGATAAGGAAGCCAGGAAATTTTCATATTTTTCCTACCTTTAGCTTATAACATTAATCATCTTACTAAGCCATGTGAGGCGTTTTTCTTCGCCCAGTTTTCGCTCTAAATTACCCGTTGACAAATTATATCAAATTCCCGGGCCAACTGCACTGACATATTCCGCTCTTTTATTGTTTCATAACTGTCATCGTTATTAATACGAAATCGCAAATTTACTTATCATTTATTACAAGTTTATTTACAACGCAACGACCTTTGGCGAGCATCCAGCACATCCAAAAAAAATATTCTCCGCAAACGTTGTTTACGAATTTCCAATTCGCCAGTAAACTAACCCGAGATCCTGTTTGTGTTTTTTTTTTGTAGCGTAGAATACAAAAAGATTGCTCGAGTTTTCCCTCTACACAAGTCGCAGTGAAATAGCGCCAGCTGTTCCTCATAACTCCAATATTTTCCGCCACATTGATGAGTTTCCATGAGCCGCGAGCCGGCTTAAAGTTTCACCTATCGAGCGTAGAATCCATGCGCCGGGATTAGTTTTTCATTTTCGTTTTTAGAAGATGCTTCTAAAATTACTATTTAGAAGTCGGTTCTTCTTTTTCTCTTTTATCGATTAATTTCCAACGGGGAAGACGTCCCTACGCGCTTAGAGCGCCGTCAATGTAGCGCTTATTGACTTTTAAAGTAGACCAAACTGTAAATTACTTCCTCCCCAAGTCTACTTCGCGTTTTCTTGAAAGGCGTAATGGATATTCCGAGTCCATCATCGAACATTAATTAACCGAAAATCCATCAGGATTTCGACGAGATTTATAAACGACCAAAAAAAAATTAGTGTGTAAATTAACTTGACATCCAACATCACTTTCGACTCGTTTCAGCTCCAATACGAAGTCGAAGACTTCAAAATATCCAACAATCTGAAGTACATCCTCCTCGTCAGCCAAATAAAGAAAGTCTTCAAATACACCACGTTGGCCAAATATCACATTTACGACATAGCCAAAGGGTAAGTAAACCGACGATTCCTGTAACACCAGGATGTATAGCAAGGAGAATTTCAGGCTGAGGAAACCTCTATCGCACGCGGAACTGGACGAAACCGCCCCCTTTCTGCAATACGCCACGTGGTCTCCCGACGGCGGCTCCGTCGCCTTCGTCTACAACAACGACGTCTACTACAAGCCCAAGGTCGAGAAGGACTTGGTCTGCAGGATAACCTACACGGGCGCCGAGGGCGTCGTCTTCAACGGCGCGCCCGACTGGCTCTACGAGAACTACATCTTGAAGACCTCCCACGCTTTGTGGTTCTCGCCCGACAATTCTTATTTGCTCTACATCACCTTCAACGACACCGACGTGGGGGAGTACAGCTATCCTTGGTACGATTCGCGCAACAGCCAGGCGACGCTCTATCCCAAAATCAAATCGTTCCGATATCCCAGGGTAGATAAGATGGAATTCGTTCAGCGTGCAGCTAATCAAAAACGCTTCGTTACAGGTGGAAACCGTTAATCCGGAGGTTACCATTTGGATTGTAAATCTAACGACGCCTAAATACTTGTTTCCGTTAAAACTCAAACCGACCAACAGCGTGGAAACCGACAGTTACATCACGAGCGCGAGTTTCCACGGGGATAACAACGTGGGAATCGTTTGGTTGAATCGACCGCAAAACACCTACGTTATCGTCACCTGCAGATTACAAAACAATTACAATTGCACGGATGTGAGTAGATAAACGAATCGCGAATAACTCTACTATTATTCTGCGATTCTAGTTCCACGTGGAGAAGGAGCACATCGGTTGGACGGAGCCGATTTTCCATCCGGTTTTCAACGCAAACGGTACTAAAGTGATCGTGCGATTGCCGGTGAAAGACGGCGATAACGGGCACTTCATGCACGCCTGTGAGATTTTCAACAATCGCGTTCGACCGCTCACCCACGGAGCCTTCGAGCTGGTGAGGATCCTGGCCTGGGATGAAGAGGAATCGAGCATGTAAGAGAGCTTTTTTTTAACTGGTAATTTTGGTAGAGTCTCGCGGAATAAACGGTTTATTCGGCGGTAAGAAATGGTTGAATTTGTAGGTGCGTTAGGGAAGTTAAATCAGAAGGAATGATACAGTGTTAAGTCTATAATTTTAGCACAATGTTCGCTAAATGTTTGGATAGTAAAGGGCCGCAAGAGATGCGTTCGGTGAGTGACAGTTCACAACAATTTGGTTCCACGTCAAAGAACGAAAAATGACAAAACAATATGTCATACGTCAAGTTGGATAATTTCCAAAATGGCGGACGATTAGCGTTTTTAAATCGCGATTGCGAGTCGAAACGAATGTTTTTTGGGAAAATGACGGTCATATTCGTAATCAGCGGATCCTTTTCCATCTTCCTATACACTTTTCTGGTCCTAAATGATTCAAAAAAATTAAATTCTCGAACGAATAGGAAGACGCTTTTAGGTTTTAGTATATAGAAAAAAAATATGGAATTCTATATACCTATTTTATCGAGCTAAAAGAACTTAAAGCTTTACGATATAAAATTCCTAAAAGCCAAGCTAGGAATCCCCCGAGGGAGCGCTCGTATTATACGAAAAGGAAAACAAAAATCTAATCAAACACAGTTTAAACCGCATTTTCGAAACCAGATCTTCTCAAAGGCCGGCGAAAAGCGACCCGCAGTCGAACGAAAATAGTACAAAATGCGAGAAACTCGCTTCGCATGTATGTGTATGTTTACCAACGTTTGGCCTATTTCCGATTGTCGTGCAGTTCTTTACACGAAACGTCTCTTCCAGCCCTTTTGTTATCCCTTCCGCCGGAAGTCGTCGAAGTTACGAAATCACATCAAACCAGACGGTATTATTTAACCAAAAAAAAAAATCGCACTTTTCCCTATACTCCCTTCCGCAAAACACTTCTCGAATGTTTGTTCCGCGAGAGAACAAAAAAAGTGTCAAATTAAAAGACGAAGGCGAGAGCTTCCGACCGCAGGATAAATGGACGCGATTCCAGCTCGTTAGGTTTTTACGAAACCCATTCGTTTCCCCCGCAGTAATATTTTCGGCTTAATTACAACGCGAAGCCACCATAAGTATGATGAAGCATCGTTCGTTATCTTAGCAGTAACGCCGCAAATACAAATTAGACACCAGTCGATTAGCTTTCTACAGCTGTAGAAGAAGAAAAAGAAACATCCCAACACTGTTGTACAATGTACCAATTAGTACCTCTCTTATTACCAACTCTTATCACCTACAACTTCTGATGATTCTCTATCACAAACTTTAACACATTTCTAAGCCATCAAAACGATCAATTCATATCGAACCATCGAGCTGCATCACACCAATCACAACTATTTCCCATCATCCAGATACGCCATCGGAACCACAGACAACTCGCCGGGCGTCCGCCACCTCATCCGCATCGCCGATCGCAGCCCCACCACATGGTCGTGCCTCACCTGCCGGCCGGAGGTCGACCTCAACTCGACGTCGGCCGACGGCCAGAACGAGACGGCCATCAACAACAGCCTGTGGCTGGACTATCCCTGCGACTACAACGCCGTCGCCTTCAGCCGCGGCTACAAGTACTACGTGCAGGAGTGCCTCGGCCCCGAGATACCCATCGTGCTGTTGGTGCGGACGTCGAGCAACGCGCGCCGCGCCATCCTCGACACCAGCTTCAAGCTGCGCAAGAAGGTGAGACGGCTGTCGGCGCCGCGGACGAAGACGATTTCGGTGGAGATCGAGTACGGGTTCAAAGCCCAAGTGCGGCTGTATTTGCCCGGGATATTGAGGGAGTACGAGGACGTCGCTTTTCCGATCGTTCTATTGGTGTAAGTAACATTCTTTTGAAATCTACAAACGTTTGTTAACTAATACTTCATCCATCCAACCAACGGAGTAACCAAAAACAAGGTTTAGACGCTGGATCACCATGCACCATTTGGTCGCCGGCCAATCACTGGTGATATAGATGAATGAATAGATAGATGAAAATATAGTTTCGGTTTCCAGCGAAGCCTCGCCGTCTTCGCAAACGGTGTCTTCCAAGTGGGAGCTGTCGTGGGCCTGGTACTTGGCGAGCACCAGGAACTACATAGTGGCCCAAATCGACGCCAGGGGATCGGGGTACCAGGGCGTGAAGATGCGAAGGGAGATCCAGCGGAGGATCGGGTTGATAGAGGTGCAAGACCAGCTGGCCGTGTTGACCTATCTCAGGGATACGTTCAAATTCATCGATCGGTACAAAATCTGCATCGCCGGTAAAGGATACGGGGGCTACGTGTCGGCTATGATGATGATGCAGGATTTTCATCAGGTGATCAATTGCTCGGTCAGCATAGCGCCCGTCACGAATTGGAGATATTTTAGTGAGTTTGTATAAATTATTTATTAGTTTTGCAACGAGTTGTGTGGTAGCCTGTAGAAGGGTTTAATGTTTTCTTTATTTATTTGGGTCACGTTCGCTGAAATATGTAGAAAGTAAATGAGGGTAAAGCACCTAATTATGCAAATGCATCGTGGATGTATTAAAGATAAATGCGTTGTGTTGTTATGGTAATTTTGAATTGTCCTTTCGCAATATCGCTATATGTTTGAACGAAGTACCCTTTTACTGGTTTAATGGTTTTATAGATTCTTATTTTGCTGAGAAATATTTGGGCTTCCCGTCGCGCCATCTCCAAGAATACGACAACGCCGATTTGACCATGAAGGCGGCGAATTTGAACGGCAGGAATTTTCTGCTCGTCCACGGTACAGCCGATACCGAAATAACGCTGCAGCATTCGCTGATGCTCGCCAAGGCTTTGATAGAGCAGAATATCCTCTTCCAACATCTGGCAAGTTCCTTCCTACATTACGATTTCTTTGGTAATTTCTGTATTTTCGCAGGAGTATCCGGACGAAGGGCACAATTTCAGTTCGAAGGCGCTGCTGCATATGTACAAAGAGATCGATTTGTTCTTCAACGATTCGTTCGGGCCGACTTACAACCACGATTGGAGCGAGGAGACGTCGTTTTTTATATAACTCCTGGAGATGTTCGATTTTAGGATTCTATCCAATTCGTTATATTCTTGCGGACGACGGGTTTTTTCTCTGTTCGAAATTTGAAGTTACCTCCCTTCGTTTTCGTGGTTAGACTGGATAAGAGATTTGAGTATAAGCAGTAGGTAATTAGGAAAAAAGTAAATCGTGTACTCTTTTGTAGACATCTTTGTATTATTACTCGTTCTAAAAGATTAATTCTCTTAAACGGAGTGGATTATATATACAAGAAATTGTTAGACAAGGGGGGTAAATTTGAATTAGAATTAAATGTAGAATTAAATTCCTATTAGTTTCCATCTAATGATCGCTGATGTTTTTAAGGGTAAATATTTATTAAAATATACATGGTGTTAAATATTGTGATACCTAAATAAAATATATTTAAATACATACTCCGGAGGAGTTTATTAGGTAACTGGGTAGTTTGTGATATAATGTAAGCATTCTATTTTAATAATATATAATTGATCCGTTTAGATGAGACAGAAATAGACAAATGTTACATAAAAAGAAAAATTTCGAAAAAAATTACTAACACCATGTACATTGCACATTCCATTTTTTATATATGTATATATGTGCCTAACCTTAGCTTTATATCTAAAAAGAATTAAACAAAAATAATGATAAAATAAACGGTTATAAAATGTTAATAATATCCATTAAATTTTTCGTTGCATACCTAAAAATATTCATTGTATCTATTAATTGTTAAAATGTTATATTTGTATTGTATTATAAAAATGTACTGAATTAAATGTGACACCAAGCCAAAATAAATGTTATTAATTTAAATACAGTTTTTCCTCTTTCTAATACAAATTTGATAACACTAATAATTGATTCTCTGAGTAAAATTTGGTACATAATCAAATCATCATCTAAAATTGGACTGGTGGTAGGAATTTTGTCAAAACTAAAAACAATTCTGCGATAAATAAATAGCAAAAACAACCAAAAAAAATCCAATAATTTATTAATCGATAATAACGATTCCACAAGTGGTAAACAGATAATCAGTCCAATAAATTATCTTCCGTAAGATCGGGTATGTCATTAGGCACGTGTACATCGTTAATTACAGCATATCTAAAACTCCTGATAGTGCATGCATAGGAATAACCCTCGAGCATATTATACTTATTCCAAGTCAACCAACTCACCGAGTTAGAAACATCAGGACAAATGAAATTCCGTTGATCGATACTATAAGGATTGTTTATCCCAATCAGTACAATTCCTTTGTATCGCGCGGGATCGTAAACGATCTTCCAGAAAATCCCAGGAACCGGCAACGTGTTCAAATTCCCATTGTTGATCAAATTCAACTCAACCTCCTGGTGAGTAGCCTCGTGAGGAAGCCTATCGTTACCATACACTCCAGTACAAACCTCCAAATCCACATTCCGATTACTCGCCAAGTCCCTGGTGTTGATTTCCGCTTGGTTCCAGTTGAACCCGTTCAGCGTTTGCCATTGCGGCGCCGCGTTCAACAATCGAAAACTCGCCAGCTGGAATGACTTGTAGAAGAAGTCCTTCTTGGCGGCCAAATGGCCGCGGGATATGAACCGCTTGTCATCGCCGCCTTTTACAAACTTATCCGACCAATCGGGCAACCCGAGCAACCGGTTGATGGTCGACCTGTGCTTGTTCCTCGTGTAATAGTGATCGACGTTGGTCGCCCTGTAGAAACCTGGATCCTGCGCGAAGAACGGTCTGGTGCTTGAATTATCTCCGTTATTGATGTTCGATATGACGGTATGTCGCACGTAAATTGGTGTTTCTTTCGCGTAATCGAAGCAAATCTTCATGATTGGGAGAAACCGGCCGGCGCCAGCTTCGAATCCCACTTCTGCGAATTTCGCGGTGTTGCCGCATCGCTCGTTATCGGCGGTGTATCGGGCTTTGGATTCGATGTCGCCGTTGCAGCGGATGTCTTCCCAAAGGACTTGTCTGCCCATTAGGTCGAATCGACCGGAGGAGTCGCAGGTGGCTTCTACCGATGTGGGGGTTCGGATGTCTCCGTAGAGTACATCGTGGCCTGGGCAGATGAAGTGGACTTGTTCGCCGGTTTGTAGGTTTATTTCGGTTTGTTGGTACGAGGGGTAGATGATTGCTGGTTCGCGGGTGTTCGATTTGATTGGCAACGGTGCTTGGGGTTTGAATGGTTTTACTGTGCAATCTGGAAAAGCGAGTGGTTTGTTTGTAAGAAGATTTGGTTGGTGGGATTAACCAAATTCTTCTTTTTTTTTTGTTTGAGTTATTTTGGTACATATTTCGTTGAGTGAATAAATAATTACCTGCGCTCGAATGATTTGCGATTAGTAATAGAATTACAACAATTAACGTACAAAACATAATTAATTGTGGGTTTACATTTAAACAACGAATTTTGCACAATTTGTTTCTGACACCTAATCGTCAATAAAATTGTAAACGCCTGACAATAATTACTACAATTAGTTAAGAACCATTTGAAGCAATTTTTTAATCGATATATTTTTATTTTTCGGTTAGTCGGATGAACGTTAGATGTAACAGAGATCTTTGTTCACGGCGATTCGAATCGAATTATCTTTCTGTTAAATAACGCGTTTCAGTAATCCGGCGAATAAAAGTCTGTTCGATTGCTCGATTTCAAAATTACGGAATTATTCGTTTATGTAACGGTATCGGAGGGTCGAAAAATGTAGAAATGTCGTCTAAAATAAATCGAAATTAAAGATATAGAAGTATGGAGGGAACGAGAAAATGTCTATTTAAGAACATTCCTCGCTAGAATGATAATGAAGTAACATTTCTTTAGCGAAATGTTTGATAATTCAAGAGTTTTGCTTAAACTAGATTACGTTATATCTGCGTCGATTTGCGTACAAATAAATAAAAAAAATCAATCGAATTTTAATTCGTATCGATCCGCAAAAACCATCACCTTAAAGTTACAATTTGTAACGATAGTAAATATGCAAACTAATTACGGCTAGAACGACATTGGAATTCATTATTTTTTTTTTGAGTAGGTAACTCGTTTCGATTAATGCAGCATTATTTTCAATCGGTTTCTTAGGAACTGGTATGGCGTACTTGTAGAAAGTGTATCGCTTTGCTTTTACATAAGGCCAAAGAAAAATCACAAAATTTACGAGCTCGAATCTCGATCGAGTCGCTTAGAGAAAAACCTATAATATTACGTTGCTCACAAATCGGGTCAATTTTAACACATTCGCAATAATCGAATAAACACGCAATAATTCCAATTCGATTCCAAATATTCCCAGGAAACGCACTGTACATTTCCTAAAACTCGTATTTCACTTATAATTGTCGAATTGCTCTCGTTACATGCAGTTAAATGATAGTTTATGTAACGATTTTCGAACGGTTAAGAGTAAATCGAATGTATTGTGTTCACATTACCGAAAATCTCTCGCGATTCGGTACATTAGAAATCCGGTGAAATGGCCTAAAATATGATATAATAACCTTCAATTGGAATCGATTCGTTCGGGCCTAGAAATTCGTAATAATTCGGTTAAACTCACATTGCAATTTCGCAATAATCCACTCGCATGTTACGATTGTCGGTTAACCGTAATGACATCTTCGAAGGTTAATCAAATTCCTTAAAATCAACATCGTTAATTGGAAATTGTAATCGAATTATTTTTTTACTAGATAGTTTGTATCTACATATTATAGTTGCATTATAATAATTTAATCTCTTCATTGTAACTACCTATTGTCAATGAACGATGCGAGATACTTATAAATGAATTATGTATTAATATAAGCAAGAATATTGAACGATTTGCACATAAAATTAATCCGAAAAACCACCATCTTGTAGACACTTCGCTATAACAAAAGTATCAAGTATAACCCCTTCATAAGTTACGTTATCTCAGCCGCCAATTGATGCAGATCGACGCCGAAGAAATCGGATAAAAAAAACCGAATCCTTCTCCATCGAGCCGCAGTCAGACCGAAAAGGTAGCGAGAACGGATCGCCTTCCCCGGTTCAGTTCCCAGTCGCTACGAAACGCGCGATAACACCAGCCGTTCTGGTTTCCATCTTCCAATTCCAATTCCAATCGCGATAACGCCAGCCGTTTTTGGTTAGTTTTATCATCTAATCGCAGTCCGATTAGTATGGTGCAAACGTGGACGCCGCCTGACCTGTCGCAGGCCTGTGCAGTGCACACCAACATCACCACCTGCCAGCCCTCGACCTTCCTCTTCCTGCAGCTGGTGGCGAATCTCTTCGGGCGGCCGAGGGACGGCGAAGGAGGCGGCTTAGGGTTCGGATTTTCCGGGTTTTCCGGCTTCGATGGCCATGCTGATGATGATCGATCGGTGGAGGAGTTCGATTTTATCGTGGTCGGTGCTGGAAGCGCCGGTTGTGTCGTCGCTAACAGGCTGACAGAAGTACCCGAATGGAGAGTGAGTTGAGATTTGTTTTTTGTAGATAGAGAATTTGGGCGAAAATTGGTGTTAATTTCTATCGAATGCGACATCTCTTGGTGCTTTAAAGCTCTTTTAGAAGAGGTACTTTTACCGCTTTACTTTTTCACGAATTATGAATTAATTAGAAAATGAGTTAGAAAGTGTTTTGGATAAACCCCCGGTGTCGGTTAGTTTTTGCGGTATCGACTTGAACTTCGATTTTCCGCTTCGCAACGTCGATAAATTGGAGAGAATCGATCGTGGGTTTAATGAAATGCGCCCAACGGGTGGAAAATGAATTGTCTAAAACGGCAAATCGTCAATTATATTCATACCGTTCGATTAACTGAAATAAATGCATAATTAATTTAATACTTCGACATAGCGAATCGTTGAACCTTACACGACGCGAAAGATTCGTCTATTACATAAACAATGCATTAAATAAAAAGGCGATTAATGGTCTATTGTATTAAAAATTTTCATCGACGAGCGGACTGAAAGTCAGACACGGTGGTTATCGGTTCAAATGCACCGTTCAATTTCCGTTTAAGGTCAATTGCGCAAGCAATTCTTTACAGTAACAGGCAACTATTTTTGTCAATCAGAAAGGGTTCTAATCGGAACATAATTTACTTATTTTATTCCACAGGTATCAAAGGTAGTAATTTTTAATCATGATTAGTTAATTAAAATAGATTTATTTACACGAAGCAATAAGTAATTAATAATTCTCCATTTGCATTTGCGTTTACTAACATCCGTTTAATCCATATTTAATTAATTGTCTTGTACTTATAGTCACTTTTCCATTTGACACACTTAAAGAAACGGGTTGATCGATTATCTGATATTTCGTAATAACGTCCTTTGAACGGTGAATTTTTGTTAATTGCTGCTGTGCAGGAAACGCGAAGACAAATCATTTGAACAAAAAAGCGGCATTTCTAATAGCCGTTCAGCACGTCGGCTACAGCTCGTTTTTTGCGAATATCTAATAAAAGCGACAATTTAAATTGCATAAAGTTTATTGGTAATATTATTACAAGTGAAAACCGTTAAAATGTTCATAATTTATTACTTTATAGAAAGTTACTGGGGCAGATTTGTGCTGCGAATTTGATTTTCAGTTACAAACAAGGAAGAAAACTGTTTACTGTATGCAATAAATTTAATTGTGTGTTAATAGACAGTCTATAACACGTTCAGATATTTTCATACATTTTTTTTAATCTTATTGGAAAGTAAGTTATATAGGTACCTTGAATTATTTGTTAGATTGCTAATTGAGTTGCTAATATACATATCTATAACATTTTATGTCCAAATGGTACAATTACATGCATAATTCAAGCAAGGTTGTTTTCGAGTAAAAGTATTTACCAATATTATATTTAAATGAACGGAACAATTTATGAACGTAAACGTAATAACACTCGTAAATCATTTCACTACATAACGCTTTTCCGATCATTCACGCCCATAAATGCTCATTATTCCAGTAGGTTTTTATCTATCAAACGTAACAAGCAAATCAAGGAAATAGAGAGAATTTTCGGTGCATTTCTATTCAGCTATTTTGCATTTAACGCGCTCGCTCCGATGAAAGTGTAACCGCAAAAATGTACCTACAACAATTCAAAAAAAAACTGTAACTAATTTACAACAAGATGAACTTCCCGGTACAACGCAAAAACTACTTCCTGTATCTATACAAACTGTCCCAACAATTTTCCCGCCTCCCCGAAAACTATCTACTCCAATGACACAATAGTCCATATTTATAAAAATGAAGCATTCACTTTGAAGTAAAAGGTGCATAGAAGCAAAAGATAAGAGAAAAAAGGTTTTAAAACCCTAAAACCTTTTGCTTTCTTTTGCTTTCTTTCACTTCTTTTTATGCACATACCTTGAACTACTTCAAACTTCCTGTATCTACCGATTGTCCCAACAATTTTCCCGCCTCCCCGAAAACTATCTACTCCAATGACACAATAGTCCATATTTACAAGAATGAAGCATTCACTTTGAAGAAAAAGGTTTTAAAACCCATAAAACCTTTTGCTTTAAAGCCACAGCTCTGTCCTCCACTACTGTCCTTCACTTCTTCTCATGCACATACCTCGAATCAAAAGGTCGACGCTTCTTCTTACAAACACCGCCCGATTTCCTAACCGATCATCGTTGCAGGTGCTCCTGCTGGAGGCGGGCGACGAGGAACCGCTGGCGGCGGACGTGCCGGCGTTCGCGCCCATGCTGCAGGCCTCCAGCATCGACTGGATGTACGCCACGCAGCCGTCCCCGAAGAGCTGCCTCGCCAGGGACGAGGGCCGGTGCACGTGGGCCCGGGGCAAGGTCATGGGCGGCTCGTCCACCATCAACTACATGATCTACATCCGGGGCCATCCCGACGACTACGACGAGTGGGAGCGGATGGGCAACACCGGCTGGTCGTACAGCGACGTGCTGCCCTACTTCATCAAATCGGAGGACAGCCGGGACCACAAGGGAATCGATCCGAGGTACCACGGTAAAGGCGGCTACCAGACCGTCGAGAGGTTCCCCTATCAAGACGAGAACACCATCGGATTGTTGCGCTCTTACCAGGAACTGGGCCTGCCCGAGGTAGACCAGAACTCCGAGCAACTTATAGGTACTATGTTAATGCAGCACACGAGTAGAGACGGCGAACGATTGAGCACGAACGGCGCTTTCATCAGACCCATCAGGACGAAAAGGAGGAATCTGACGGTTCGAACGAACGCCCACGTTACCAGAATCCTGATAGATCCCAAAACTAAAACCGCCTACGGAGTGGAGTACAACCGAAACGGACGGTTGATTCAAGTCGTCGCCAGGAAAGAAGTCATCCTATCAGCAGGCAGCATCAACTCCCCCGTTATTTTGATGCTAAGCGGCATCGGTCCGGCCGATCACCTCCAACAACACGGCATCGAAGTGTTGAAAGACGCCGCCGTGGGTTTCAACCTGCAGGACCACACCACCATCGACGGCGTCGTCTTCCGCTTGACCAACCACACCTCGACGCTCGTCGGCGACGAGCAAATGCAAAGCGACACCTACGAGTGGAAAGAGACGAGAAACGGTCCGCTCGCCTCCACCGGAGCCCTACAAACCAACGCCTTCATCCAAACCAAATACGAGCAAAGCCTCGACCGACCCGACATACAAATATCCATCGATTCCGTCAACGCCGACAACTTCTACACCGACCCCATCCTCAGCTACAACACCGCCGTACTGCCTCTATCCTACTACAGCGGCATGATGGCGAGGCCCATCCTCCTGAACCCCGAATCCAGAGGTAGAATCCTGCTGAACGATACGGATCCGGTGTACGGGGCGCCGCTCATCTACGCCAACACCTTCTTCGAGGAGATCGATCTGCTGCGCATCGTGGAGGGCGTCAAGCAGAGCTTGAACCTCGAACGCACCAGCTTCTTCCGCAAGGCGGGGGTTAGATTGGATAGGACGCCGATGCCGGCGTGCAGGCACTTGCCCTTCGGAGGGGACGAGTACTGGGCCTGCGTCGCGATGGCCTACACGACGACGATCTTCCATCCGGTGGGCACCTGCAAGATGGGGGCGGCGGGGGATCGGGCGGCGGTGGTGGACGCGGAGTTGAGGGTGTACGGTGTGAGGGGGCTGCGGGTGGTCGATTCGTCGGTGATGCCGAAGATCGTGAGGGGGAATACGAACGCGCCGACGATTATGATCGGCGAGAAGGGCAGCGATTTGGTGAAGAAGCGGTGGTTGAGGAAGGGCGGTGGTGGGCGGTACTCGCAGAAGGTCGTGCCTGATGTTGGTGGGTTTTCGAAGGGCGGTTTTGGCGGTGAGCTCAAGGGACCGTCGTTTGATTTCGATAGGTTTTTTGAGGATAATTTCCGATTTTAATTTGAAGTTGACTCGGACATCTGAAGATATTTTAGGTGTGCTCTATTTATTTGAAGGACTGCTGAGTCGAAATAGGTGATACATTCGCAGTATTGTTATTGTTGTTAACAAAATATGTAGAAGTAATGTACAAATGTTTTAATAACTTCTTTAAATGCTTTGTAGGATTACATAAAAAAACCCTCAATTAAACCAGAGAGGTTTTTTTGGTATTTAATTAAAAAAAATAGTCTTAATCATCGGTTCATAGGTTCATTCATCATTATAATCATCCCTATTAATTTTTTACATGTTAAATATTGCCTAGTTCTCCATAATTTCAGTATATTACAGTAATTGTAATTATTTTACTATGAATAAAAAATAGAAATAGTAATTGCCAATCCAATTAACAATTTAGTTGATCCGCCATATAACATACTTGATAAAACAACCAGTAAATTCTTCATATGTATATAGGAAGACTTGGTTTGTTACTATTTTCATTATAACTATTTTAATCATCTATTTAAAATGATTTTTTATAATACTCATATCTCTTTTTGTACCCTTATTTATAATAAATGATTAATTATTACCTATTTTGTATTAGTTAATAAGCGCAAACTTGTTGTGAAGTCATAATTAAGTTCGTTGGTTTTTGTTCAATTTATATCTAATGAAAATTAATAATAACTAGTTTAATTAAACCGCCTTTAATATAGCTAGTAGTTATTGCTACAATGATTACCTAAAATGTATGCAGAATAACCTGCATTTTCAATAAATCTTTTCAAAATAACTTTAGTGAAAAAAAAATCTATATATTTTTTGTACTAGATTATACAAACATTTTAACATAGAAAAATAAACTTATGTCCCAACAAAATATCCTTTTCTTTACACCTTTTTTATAGTAAACTACACAAATTTGAACAAACACTCCAAAATCTACAGAAAGTTTCAACTTTGCACGTGTTACAAACATACGAATTTCGCCCGTATCAACTGAAAAAAGATGCATGCATAAAGTGAAAGCGAGAACTCGCATATACAGGGCGATGTCCCGGTACAAATGCCGCGTTCGCGGAAAACTTGCAGCGTTATTTCGGATCGCCCTGTATATTAACCAACCAGCAAGTGAAATTAACGATGAGGCGATTCCGGAAAATTTAGAACGCAAACGGACGGACTTGTTGTTGCAACGATCAGTGATCAGTGATCAGTGTCAAGGTGAAGATCCAACGTTTATTTATGAGGAGAAGTGAAAACTTCGAATGGTGAGCGCTTATAATAGATATACTATAAAATATCAATAAGAGATTGTTATACTTTTTTGATGCGCGGTTTTGTTCGCGATATTGTTGAGAAAATTTAGTTGTAGATGGTTTTGAAGTGTTCTAAATAGTTCTAAACGGTTCCGATTTATTCTAAAGTGTTTTAAATAGTTCTTGACAGTTTCGGTTCATTTTGAAATATTGTAAATTGTTTTGGACAGTTCCGATTCATTCTGATGTGTTCTAAATAGTTGTGGACAGTTCCGATTGATTTTGAAGTGTTTTAAATAGTTCTGGATAGTTCTGATGCATCGTGAAGTGTTTTAATTTGTTCTGGAGTTTTAAAAAGGTTCTAAAAGGTTCTAAATTGTTTTGAAGTGTTCTAAATTTTCCTATAATTTATTATTCTAAGGCATTCGCGAATGAAGTATGAATGAGTTTTAAACTTAAACTTTGCCTCTTCGAGTTGAACTTTGAATTGCCTCTTCAATAACTTAAAGATATCTATTTAAAAAAATAATTTTTCGTTATTTACTTGTGTTTAAATTTTTCCATCATTCTTATTTATTTTATTGTACTATTTTTATTTAAAAAAACGTTTTACTGCCAATTATTTTTTTATATCCGCCTTATAATTATGTCTTTTTCTATAAATTACCCACTTTAAGAGGATAAATTAGGTATAATCATCCAAAATGTTCAGAAAAACATACATTTACAAGTCTTTAATTTAACACCAAATTTTTATTTAATAATAACGCAATTTCGGCAAATATACCTTTCTAAAATACCAGGTCAATTCGAATTGTTCACGACCCAATTTAAAAGGTACTTAACGAAATTATATTTTAATAAAAACCACTGATGTTTCATTAATATTTTAGTGATACTCACATATTATTAGTAATTACTAATTAATTATGCAATGTTTTGAAAATTTAAAGTACTTACTCATTCTTACCGAAATGTAATCGAACCTGTTAGGTAAAAGTATAAAGAAAAAAAAGAAAGTGATAAAAATCGGGGACAGTCTTGGTCATTTGCCCACTTAAAACACGCACACCAAATCGTATCCTATTTTATTTTACTTATCATGTTCACCTCGTAAAACTCGTAAAACATTTTTACGATTCTCGACTGAATTTAATCAAAGTTAATTACCAGTTTCAGGCGACGATAGACAAATTAGATATTATGCCAACTAGGATACCGAGATGAAATTAGCTTTATTCCTAGGATTTTCCTTGATGGTGATTCCCCAATGGATTTTCGCCTCTAACAGCACGAATTTAATGACCCAACATGGGGAACACAAGGAGATACTCTTAGACACAGTCGTTAGAAAATTAAGGAATTATTGGCACCAGTACGGCGATGACGGTAATACTTTTATCGGTAAGTTAATTAACATTTCTCCGTACTTTTTCTTATTACTCCAACGAATCGGTTATACTCCAATTATTCGGGGTCATCGCGAGATTTAACTTCACGGCGTGTTGCCTGGAGGCACTACCAGACGTTATCCGCACGTGATCGTAACCGTAATCACAACCAAATCGAAAATGACAGCTGACAAGCAAAAAAAAAATGCAAAAATGGAGGTAATAAAGATACTAAATGAAATGTGCGATTGCAGGTAGATGCTTCGGCCTGGCGAAGAGGATACGATCCCTGCTGCCGCAGGCGATATTCCTGATGGGCGTGATCAGCACCCTGCTGGTGTTCCTCACGTTCTTCTCGATGAAGACGCTCGGGCTGGTGGGGGCGCTGTTGTTGTTCAACGTCAGCGGGGCCGTCGCCAAACTGGCGGCCTTCTTCGCGGGCAAAGCGGAAAAACGGCCGCAAACGGTGCATTTCCACGTGCACAAAGATGATGATGACTATCATCACTATCCTCACGGCCACCGCGATTATTACGGCGACCATTCGGGGCCGGGATACATGCAGGAGTGGGACAGGACCTCTCGCTACGGGCAGGACTTCGATTTGGATAAATTGGAGTCCTATAATCTCTATAATAAATTGCTGGACAATTTGTCGACGAGATATTAGTGTTAATTTAGGCGATTTTGTACATATTTATTTATTTGTTTTTATGTTAAATGTTTACCAAAAGGATTTGAAGGAGGATAATGAGAGATTAGAGTGGAGGAAAATAAGAAAAAAGAAACAAAAATATTTATATTATCTACTTCTTTGATAACTATAATTGTAAAAACTACATTATTTACTAAAAAATTAAATCCACCGAAAAAGAGTTATAAATTAATTCTATTATACATAGTGATTAAAAAAATCCTTTAAATTCTAAGGATAGACTCCAGGATCATTTGTATCGATACAAATTCCAGTAGGCAGGCATATTTTTTGCATCAATTTCGTCACGTTCACGTCGAGTTTCTTCTTAGTAACGAATAGATTGAAAATTTTCTTGGTATCAGAGGGATTGATATCGTAGCTCTGGAATTAGTCGAATTGCGATAAAAACTAATAAATTAACCGTCTCAAAAATAGGATTAGATTGTTTGTTTAAGGATTTAAGGATTAACCGTTCCCGCAATTGAAAAACCTGACGAAAACATTCCGAAAGTGTCGCGTTATCGATGATTTTATCTAATCGGGTTAATTCGAATGAATTTAACAGGTTTTTTTTTGTGTTTAAAATTGTCGGTTTTTTACGTGTATTATTTTAAATGTTACCGTTTCTCTCTACATTTTTTAGCAGGATAGAGGCTTTTTTCATATAAGTTAAATTATTACAAAAATTTCAAATACTCACTTTAGGAGTAAGTTGTGGATTCTGATCGATGTAACCTAAATACAATTGATGAAGCAACACGTATTTTCTATCTAAAAAAAATAAAATAACACGTCCACAATATGTACAATAATACCTATTAAGTATACAGATAGATGCAAAATTGTTTGCAATTTATAGTGAGTGATATTGCAACTGTCTCACTTTAACCAGTTATTTTTATAATCTTTCTTTGTTCCACTACTCCATACAGCAAACAATTGTGCATTTACTTGTATATGTAGTGATGTAGTGCATATAAAAGAATAAATAAATAAAATTGATAATTACCTTCCATTGGTATATCCTTGAAGACGCCCTCAAGGTAGATTTCATCTTCTTTGGTGAAACCCGCAGTCGCCGCGACGGCGCCGACGCCTATGCAGAGGAGAACCGACGCCGCTAAAAAATTCGTCGCTTGCATTTGAAAAGCCTGCTAGAAATGTTGTGCAAGTCGAACGGAAAAATCGGTCGGTTATTGACTGACAATTTCGATATTGCATGGCCTATTAAATAGCAGATCTTCGATCGGTTTTAATCCCACATAATCCGACCCACTCGAAAAACAAAAATGAACTCGTAAACAAGATTAACTCAAAATAAAAAAAGGAAATAGTACGTGAGGAATCGTTCGGATCGTTTCGGAAAAGTTTCAGTTCGTCGAAAAAAAATCTCCGAATTTACGGAAATTGTAGTAAACTTGGCAACGCCGTAAAAATTCCGAATTTTTAACTAATTGTTAGTGTGTAATTTACCGGTAAAATGGCCCGGTGACGGCGAGCGGGCTATTTTATTTTTAAAAAATAGGTCATTAGATCAATATATTAAAATATCCGTTTTATGGATTTAATTTCATCCGGAGATATTCGTTTCACGAATTCGGAAATATTTTTAGAACATGTCCGCGTGTCTGGCCCTTTATCGAACATTATTACTATGTACAGAGCGATTTCGAAATATATTCCTCAATAAGATAAAAATAATTAAACAATAATTACAATACAGTTTTATTGCATCAATTGTATATCGATGAGTGTGTTTATTTTAGTTATTCTCTTAGTATGTCATAGCTGTCATTAAATGACAGATTACTCAAACGTCAGAATATAAAAAAAAACCATTGATTCTGGCTAAGATTACGATAACGATTACGATAACTTAGTTAAATTTATTCGATATGCGTCAATAAATTAGCAAATAACAAGAAATTTATTAACGCGTACAGCCCTATTAATAACCGTTTTGTAGATTCGCGATCGCATTATTCAGTTTATTTATAACCCGCTCTATTATTCCATTATGAAAAAAAAAAGTAAGTTGCTTCGTTTACACGCCTTATATAATCAATTGATCATTGAGCAGCATGGAAAGTGGAGGGACATTAAAATTTTCATGCGCCCTAAAACACAGTCACAATTCCGGTTGAAGCTCCATTTCCTCCCGAAAATTTCGTGGAAAACGTGCTAGATTATGCGGGGGATTTTCACGCGTATTGGGAAAACCGGTAAGTGATTTTTTTTATTACTTTCGTGCACTTTGAAGTGATTTTTTTTGCTTTGCGGACGACATAAAATTAATAAAATTAAAATAGATATAATCAAAATGTTTACTCGCCTTTTTCTATATAGTTTTTTTAATTTTGATTGTTTAAACACAAACGAATAAAACAATTTTCCCCATCCTTTCGTGTCGTCGAGTAAACGAAGAGCTCGAAAGAAAGCTGAAGGAAGGAGCAGGAGAGAAAATAACTTCAACTTTTCCTGACCACTTTACGCATTCCCGATATCAAAGTAGGCTGCGCGTCCTCAACAAGTTAAGAATAAAATTGTATAAGCGAAAAAAAAAATGTGTAATGAAAATCCAATTTCAGTCGCTATAACCTTGACATATTCGGCTTTTGAATATTTCAATATCACAGGATCGATTCCGATACATTACCTTACCCGTATTCTAGCCGAATGGCTGGATAGTTTTTCAGCTTTCGCCTTCCTGATCGATATGTATACGGAGCCTGGAAAAAGTCTGGAAATATTTCGAGTCTACAAAGTAATCGCGGGCTGAATAAAGAGTTTTCTGAATGTTTTCAGTGGTTTTGATTGAACGGGTTCGTCTGTTTCAGGTATTCCGGATTCGTAAGGAAATTCTAGGGGACCGTTTCCAGATGGATAATCCATAAATGTGGCATGAAATCCTTAATCCTGTCGATATTGCTCGTACTGATCGCAATAGCCGGCTTGATTTTGAACGGGTACATTCTGATTGTGATTTTCTTGACAAAACAGGTAAAGGAATTAAATTTGCTCACCCCTATTTTTATATCTCACTTTTCCACTTCCACCGATACCGCTTTTTTTTATTTGAAATTTCAATTACCCTCCTCTTACAAACGTCACTTTGGTAAGTTCTAATTAGAAAAAGACCACCATATATATTACGTTGGTAAAACGGAGAACCAATTTTACACCTCTTCTTCTACTTCATTTGATTTGTTTTCGATTGTTCAAGCTGAAATCCCCCAATCACCTGCTGCTGGTCCATTTGGCCTTCATCGACATATCCTCCGCATTGGCCTTTCTGGCCTTCTATCTGCCGGGAATAAACGGCAAGGAATGGTCCCCGTCGGGAGATGGTTGCCTCTTGTACGGTTTTCTCTTCGCCCTTCTTCAGCCGCTCGCGATTTGGACGATTTGCGGATTGAATTGCGAGCGATTCTACGTGATCGCCGTGCCGTTGCGTTATAGCCGAATCGTTACGTCCAAAAAGGTAGCGAAAATAACGTTGGTAACACTCACCGTAGTGGAATGATTCGAGTCCCTTGCAAGACGCACTTTTTTTTGCACTTAACTCGTTTTCTTATCGTGTATGTTGTGTATTCGGTAACGGCTCTAGAGCCAGAATGTAATCTCGCTCTAGGCGCTCTGTCATCTGTCACCTGCCATCAAATTTAAATTTACCCAAAATACCAAAGCTTGTGTAGACAAAAAACGTTAATTAGCTCTTTATTCGTGTAGATTTAATACTTTTTTTTGTAGGTTTTGACTGGTCTGGGCGCCATTTGGACTGTTTCGATATTGCTGAGTACTCCTCCGATTTTCGCAAATGTGGCCTTCTCGTTCACGCCGCGTTTGGGGATATGCGAAACGGATTTTTTATCCAAATCGAGGACCTTGTGGTATTCGACCGCGTACGTGGCCTTTACCCTGCTTTTGCCAGCCACTTTCATCATCGTTTGTAACGTAAAGGTGATTTTTATAGTCGTTAATCCTCCGAATAACAAGAGGCCATTCTGGTCTCTTACTATGTATGCAACCGATACTAAAACGTCTATAAAGGTTGATTTTTTTTTTGAAATAAATAGGATATTCCTTTGCAGATTTTCATAATAGCGCGCTACCAACGCCACCGAATAGCCTCGGCCATCTACCAAGTAGCGATATCAGCCCAAGTGGCGATCACCCACCAAAAGAACCCGTTCTCGTGGTCGTTCTCGCACCGCTACCCGTCCCACCATCACCACCACCACCACCACCACCATCCCGTCCAGAAGTTCCGCAGCGCCGCCTACACCACCCTGCAGTTCCTCGGCCCCTTCGTCGCCGTCTACGCGCCCCACTACTCCCTCGGCCTCGTCGACGCCGTGGCCGGCGAGCGCCGCCTCCTCGACGGCGCCGTCGCCGCCGCCTCGTCCGGCCTGCTGCTGGCCGCGGTGCCGCTCAACGGCCTCCTCTACGGCGTCAAGGACCGCGGGCTGCGCACCGCCTGGCGGAACTACTGCAGGAAGCGGCGCACGGCGCTCGATCTGCACCAGGAGATCCAGGCGAGGACGCCGTCGACGTGCGGCAGCCGGCGGCCTTCGGTGCTCGTCAAGCCGGAGCACCTCGTCGACGTCGTCCGGTGCTCCCCCAGGTCGAATACCTTGCAGGTTAGTAGGCGGGCGCGCTCCGGGAGGTGCTCTCTAAAGTTTTACATGCTCTTTCAGGTGCCTAGTGGGAATAATCGAGGGGTGTCGCTGGTTACCGAAGACGAGCTGTGCAGGAAGTTGAATGTGGCTAGGAAGAGTGGCGGCTTCTTCGGCGAGTTTTTTCGGTGTGAGGAGGAGCCCGGGGGTGCTGTAGGGGATGATTGTATTCCGTTGGCGGGCGGGAGAAGGGATAAGTCGCCGAAAATCCTGCTGACTCAGGCGAGTACCTGCAGGAGCGATTCAAGTTTGGCGGATACCGGTTTTGGTGGAGAGGAAAGCGGCACGTTTCAGCCGCTGTTGTACGGGGATGAGAGGGATAGCGATAAAGTGAAGTTGTTTATTTTATAGCGCGATTAGAGTAATTGATTGTGATGTTATTATTTTTTTTAGGAAGGGAGCGATGTGAATTAGAAACGTTTCTAATAGTTCCTCAACTACACCGACACGAATTAAAAATGACGAAAATTGATGAAATTATTACTTGATTAATAGAATTTTCTTAGTTTTACATTTAGGTACAATATGGCAACTGATAAAATCCAATTAAAAATAAATAGATGCGAGGAAAAATCTCGACGCTTTTTGTAATAAAAGATCCTTTTATTTTCAAATCAAAAACATCCGGAAGGTAAATAACATACATATAATATCATAGAATAAATGCTTTTAAATACAATACAAAAAAAGTACACGTTATAATATCGCAATATCGTACTTTTCAGAAGCCCATACATTTGAACTATCAGGTAATTTTTGTTCACAAATAAAGCTAACAAGAAGACAAATGTTCCTAAATCAACTGTGAAACATTACACCTGCAAAGAAACCCAACAAAATAAAAAACAAATACGCAATCCTACCGTTATTTACAAAATATCCGCCATCATTTTTATTAATTAATCACATAAATAAAAAGAGTATCCTCTTAAAACACCGTCGAAAAAATCTTGTACGTCTTAGGTTTAAAATTATTGATATAAAATAAAAGATAAATAAACCATCTATTTCGCCTCGTGTGTATCCTTATGCTGATAACCCGTTACATAGCCCGAATTATCGGGCAGGTCCTTCCTTCCTGCTATCCCTTTACCTTTTCCCGTCTGATCGAACCTTTGCTTGTGCGTTCCCGTGTACTTCGATGTATCGGTTAGCCGGTTCACCGTTTCGGTGGCTTTTGCATTCTACAAAATAACATATTTTAACTTCTACCGAAAAAGAAGAAAAGAAGTTTGTTAGTTTTTCACACGGTCCTATATTTCTAAGGTCTGGAAACATGGTTCGAAAAAATGTCCCGTTATTTGAGGATAAAACGGGGTTCCTAAAACGGCCGCTAGGAGACGATGTTGTAAAGGACCACGGTTTTTTGCGTACGAATTATGTAGAATTAGCATTAAGAAAGGTGTTATTCAAATTAAAAATAGATACAAAATATAAAAATATACTTAAATCAGCGATGATTTTGTTGTAATCATCATGCCTCACGTATCTTCGGTTAATATATTTCTCCATTTTCTCCTCGAAATGTCAAAAAATAATTTTTGAAGTTTTGACAGCTCGAACTGTCATTTCACAACAACCGCGATTTATATGTAGCGCGACGCTGATTGGCTGAGATAATTTGATTATCCGATCGTTCGCCACGGTGCGGCGCAAAAGTGAAGCTCAAAAAGTCCTCAAATAACGGGACACATTCTCTAATGCATGAGCATATAGGGAGATGCCAGACCTTAGAAATATAGGACCGTGGTTTTTCATCACTTACTGCAATTCCGTGTAAACCGGGCGCGCCGCAAGCGGACAGTTTCTTGACGATTTGATTGGCCTCGACCTTCTTGGCTTTAGCCAAATCCTCGATGAAGGACTTGTATTGCTTCACGCTCACTTTCTGCGATTTCAATTTCTTGAAATAGATGCCTGGAAATAGAGGAGGAACGTATACAGAAATGGATCACTTCCTCGAACAGGTATCTAACCGGTATCGGTAGTTGTAATCTTCTTCCCGTCGATGATTTTCGCCTGTTTCATCCATTTGTCGCTGTTCGATAGCGTGATCAATTTACCGTCCGATTTGGGATCGCCGAATTTCGCGAAATTCCTGAAATTGCTGTCGAACGCCTCCAGGTCGGCGCCATCTAGGGTTTCCGGGGCTTCTTGGGCGGGTTCTTGGGCGGCTGGTGAGGGCGGTTGGGGGGCCGGTGGTTCGTCGATTTTCAATCGCTCCACGTCGGGAATCTCCGGTTGGGCGGACATTATCTAGAACACAAAAATAAGACAAATTTTATAGCAAAATTTACGTTTTTTTTTTGCATTCGAAATTTCCCTGTAGATCAAACAAATTAAAGGCATTTATTCGAGGCGTTTGATGGACGACTTACTGCAGGTAGCGCCGGCATTTGTAATTTCCCCGTGACTTGTAATTGAACCGGCGCTGGTATTAGAGCTTGTTGGGGATTGGTTTCGATCGTTTCGGAAATGATATCGCTGTTCGTTATCAACAAATCGGGGTGGTGGCGATTTTGCTGGAAAATTTGGTGGATGATGGAAGGGCGTCGGGACCCTAAAGGGTTGGAAAATGGAACTTACGAGTGGTACGAGATGTTCGGCGTCCTCTGCAGTCGTGGCGACGCTCGGCGTCATTTGCATATCGTAATCGTACTGGGCAAAATGTGTCGATTAAATTGGAAAAAAATTGGACAATTATTAGGCGAAAAAAATGTTACGTTTCGTTAACCAAGAGAGATCTTTGTGGAAATTTTCCCTTTTAAAATAATGAGAGATTTTTTTAAGAAAGATTTGTACTTACGCTTTGACTGTGAATGGTGAGAGATAATTCGATATTGGGAGATTCTGGCAAATGAAATTGTATATCGTCGGATTTCTCTCTTTCTTGATTTTCATCTATGGCGATTGTCTGATGGGTAAAAAATAGACGGTTTTGATATTGATTGAAATATTATATTGATCGGAAGAATACTGATTGATAAAGGAAATGTTTGCGGATAAAATAGAGTGAAAATTCATGTTAGAAATAGTTGTTTTTTTAAGAGAATAATGCTATAATTAAAATACATAAAATTTATCTTATCTTCAATTATTACATTCGCTACTCTTCAGTAAATACATAATATCGTGATTATTCTCGTAATCAACTTTTATATTTACTTATTTCAAAACGGAGATAAAATGTATCTACCTATTTACCTGCAATTGATTATTTACAAATAATACATTTTTTTTATTCCTTAAATATTAAAGAATTCTATTACACATTGTATTATAAGGTCGCACATTGTGTATTCCTAATAATAGCTGCTTATACTTGATAGTAATAAATTTCAACCTTGGGAACACTTTGGTATCTTATTTAAATTCATCGATGATTAAACTCTTTTTGGTTACGAATTTTACTGTGCAAATTTTAGACAGGATTTGATATATTATTGGATTTTATTTCATTTAAAACGCACTCAACTTAATTACACCTTTAATTAGAAAAATACGCAAAAATCTTTTTAACTCACTTATATGCCTAATTAAAAAAAACAATATAGGTGTGTCTGTATGTAAAATTCAATTGTAAAAATTACTCGGTTAATTAATTAAATTTTATTCCAAAATATTTCGAACGCAACTACGCAATCCTCTATTTTTAGAAATTACTGTGAAATTTTCGGTAAAAGATAATTCCCTAATTCACACACATGCATGAACACAATCAACATAATAATTACGTGTATATGATACATACAAAATAAAATAAAACACACAAAAAATTGTTACCAAAACTTTCAACTTTTCATAACAATAGAAAAATCACCGCTATCCAGGAAAATTATCCTGGTTCGCATTCATGCGCAGGAATATCGATTTGCCATTCAACAATTTCAACCACCCTTTTGTTTGATCAAAAATACCAATTTATTTGTCAATAAACCGCTATAAATTGCTAGAGTGTTTTAAAAAGATCGATATCTCACCGTTTCTTCCACAGGAAATTTAAATTTACCGATGCAATAGGCTCGTTAATAATAGCAGGAAAACGCGCGCAAACCTCTCACTTCTACGCCTATTATCGCACTGCTGTGAAAAATACTGAAATAGGTCGGATAAACGCACCTACAAATTTTATCTCGTGCTCGTTTTACCTAATTTTTTTTAATTAACATTTACACGCTTTGTAGATTTAGTAAGGCGAAATTTGGGTTTTAATTCGCTTTATTTCCTGCAAATATTTCTGTATATGTCTTTTTGTTTATTTAATTTTATCAGATGTAAATTAAACAAGTACATAAAAGAGTGGGGAAATCACTGGATGACCTTATTTCAATTTACCTTTTAATGAGTAGTTCAATCGATTTATTAAATCGATCGAGTTTAGTGTTATAGCGGGATAATAATAGATGTTATTACCTTCAATATTTGCATGAATTTGGCGTTATCCGATTTATCTACATCGATACAAATATCTAAAAAAAATAAAATTAATTGTGGAATTGATAATTTTCAATGAAAACTTAGGGGCCATTCTGGGGGGTCTTAAAGGGCGAATTAAAAATTAATTACAATAGAAATTTAAACGTACCACTTCCGCTGGCAATTTCGTACGTCGACATTGTATTATTTTTATTACTTACACGAAAATTTTAAACTTAATTAACAATGAAATGAAACGAAAATTGTGAAATCTAACGGTCAATTTGACAGTTTTGAAATATTCGAATTTTTAAATATGCTCCGCTTGTTTTAATCAAATCGAGTAATTAGGTTATTTTGGCCCGTTATTTCGAATTTATCCATTATATTTTAATTATAAAAGAGTAAAATAGAGAATAGATTTTTACTTGGCCTCCAATTACCAACGTATTCAGCGACAGTAATACAATCGTAACGCACCCAAACAAATGTCACATACGTCAACTGTCATATTAACCATTTGCTAATGACGGGTAAATGAATTAACAAATAATTTTGTAATTATATTTAGAAAAATAAAATGGATGAAACGTGAGTAAACCAAAAAACTGAAACAATTTATTATAAACCCCTCATATTTCAGAATGAAAGATAATTCGCACTCGGACGGTTCGTCGTCGAAAAAGAAACACAAGAAGGACCACAAACGCAAACACAAAAAGCACGATACCGAGAAAGCCGAGAAAACCGACAAAGACAAAACGAAGCGCCACAAAAAGCACAAGAAGCACAAAAGCAAAGGCGACGAGCCCGACGACGATGCGCAATCCGACGCCAACGGCAGGTACACCCCCGTTAAAGCAACCAACGAGGTGCTCAACGGCAAAACCAAACCCAAACCGATTCCGACGGAACCGCCGGCGGTCGCCGAATTCGCACCGTCCGACCTAGTCGACGACAAGGAAACGGTCTCGTCGGAGAGCGAATTCGTGCCGGAGGCCGACTGCGACAGCCTGGACATCGATCTGAGCCTCATCGAGGCCGACATGGACCTCGAGGAGCTGATGAAACAGAAGGAATTGCTGCAAGCCCAGCTGGCCAAGGCCAGCGGTTGCTCCACCCCTCTCGTCAAAGATAAAAAACAACCGGACGAGGTCATCCTCTTGGACGATTCCGACGAAGCGACTACTCCCGAAGTCAAGAAGAAATCCAAGAGCCGAGAGAGACGGATCGAAGTGAAACCCAAAGATAATTCGAGCAACCGAAACCGACAACAATCGCACAGGGAACAGGACAAAAGAGACAGGTATATATCCGATCGCACGATCCACCCGTTGCATAAACTAAAACAATCATTCGTAGGTACCACCGCGAGACGGAGAGGCAGAGACGCGAGAAGGAGAGGCGCGATAGGGAGAAAGAGCGGGAGCGAGAGAGACGGTCGCGGTCTCGTTACCGCGAGGCGTACAGCCACCGAGGTCGCGAGGCCTCGAGGGACAGGGGCAGGGAGTCGCGCGGTTACGGCTACAGAGATCGTTACAAGGGCGATGCGTTGAGAAATAATCGAGGAAAGGAATACGGCAAGTCGAGAGAGAAACAGGATAAATTCAAGGATTCGCTGAGCGAAGGCCAGAAGAGGCAAGATAGTAGCGAAAGTGATGTAGAAATGGATATCGATTGGAACGAAGAAGACGAGGAAGTTATAATTGAGAAGCGGAGGAAACAACGAGAGGAGTTATTAAAAGTAAATAATTTATAATAGCTTATTAATTGATGTTAATGGGATTGTTTTTTAGCGACTCGGTGCGGATTCGCAGGATTCCCAAGGCCCTGACGTTGAAATCATCGAAGATCACACTACATTAAAATTAAAAAGTCCGGAACAGCCGAAGAAATCCACCGTAACGCCAGTAAAAAAACAACAGGATTCGATCGACGATAAACAGAAAGACGAAGATGATAGGGAGAAACAAGAAGAATCTCTCACGCCGCCTCTGTTGCCCAACATGAAACCGATCGTAAACAATTCGATCGACAAGAAAACGGACAAGGACAAAATCAAAACCAACGCTGCATGGGACATGTTTGCGGAACAGGACATCTTCAAAATGAATTCCGTATGTATCATTTAATAATGATAAAAAAAACTATTTTATCGGTATGTAAACGTTTCAGTCGCCGAGTACAATCAGCACGAAGGGCTCGGGGGCCGAGAATCCCGCTCTCACCGACAATTGGGACGACGCCGAAGGGTATTACAGAGTGAGAATCGGCGAGATATTGGATTCCAGATACATGGTGTACGGGTATACGGGTCAGGGTGTGTTCAGTAACGTGGTGAGAGCTAGGGATCAGGCCAGAGGTAGTCAAGACGTGGCCGTTAAAATTATCAGAAACAACGAAATAATGTAAGTGTGCGGCGCCTCGTACGCTTCGGCTACGCAGCGAACTGATCGATCGAACATTGATTTCCAGGCACAAGACGGGCCTCAAGGAATTGGAGATACTGAAGAAACTGAACGATTCCGATCCGGAGGATAAGCTCCATTGTCTCAGATTGATCAGGCACTTTTTCCACAAGCAACATTTGTGCATGGTGTTTGAGCCGTTGGCCATGAACTTGAGAGAGGTGTTGAAGAAGTACGGTAAAGACGTCGGTTTGCACATCAAAGCGGTGAGAAGTTATACGCAACAGCTTCTTTTGGCTTTGAAGTTGTTGAAAAAAACCGGAATACTCCACGCCGGTAAGTACAAGTAATTTTATTTATTGTTTGTTTTATACAGAGTATTTCGGCTAAATACTCACCTTCGAATCTCTTCTCCTTGTTTTTAAATAGAGTATTTGAGCTGATATGCACTGTATATATTCGAAACGAATCGATATAGATGTTCTAAACGATTAATATTCTTCTTTTCGTAGATATAAAACCTGATAATATTCTAGTAAACGAAAGTAAACACTTGTTGAAGTTGTGCGATTTCGGTTCGGCGTCGAAAATCAACGAGAACGAAATCACCCCGTATTTGGTGTCGAGATTTTACAGGGCGCCCGAAATCATATTGGGCATGTCCTACGACTACGGCATCGACATGTGGTCGGCCGCCTGTACGGTCTACGAATTGTACACGGGCAGAATAATGTTCTCCGGCAAAAGTAACAATCAAATGTTGAAGTTTTTCATGGACGTCAAAGGGAAGTTTCCCAACAAGGTCGTCCGAAAGGGTGCCTTCAAGGATCAGCATTTCGATGGGAACTATAACTTTTTGTACCACGAAATTGATAAGGTCACCGAGCGGGTGAGTACATTTTTTTTTATTCTTTAAAGAATCTCGTTACGAATCTCTCTCTCTCTCTCTCTCCTTTATAAATTTCTATTTAATAATGGTGGATTGTGTTTTGTTTAGGAAAAAGTGGTGGTGATGTCTGTGGTGAAGGTGTCGCGAGAATTGCAATCTGAACTAATAGCCGGTCAAGCGTTGCCCGGCGATCAGTTGCGTAAAGTGACCCAGCTGAAGGACCTGCTGGAGAAGGCGTTGGCGATCGATCCTGCGAAAAGGATCAGCTTGAACAACGCCCTAACGCATCCTTTCATCCAGGATAAGATTTGAATCGAGAGGGTTTAGAGAGGTAAACACACAATAAATGAGGAGATCCAAAGTTTTTCTTTTTCTTTTTCTTTTGATATATACATATAGATATTTTTTCATTTGATCTAAGTGATGAACGGATTTACAAGGAGTTGTTTTAAAGGTGTCGCTTGTACGTTGGTTAATTTAATAAGATGCTGTAAAATTTACATTTTTTTTGTGAGCAAGAGTTGTTTAAATAAATTTTCGACTGTTTTGATGTTTGATGGCCATTTTCGTGAACTGCATTTGTTATTCTCTCCTCGTATTCTCTCTTTAGTATATTTATTGTTTTGTTGCAGACAATCTTTGAAGGATTTATTTGAATTTACTGCCGGAGAAAAATGACCTGCAACCTGCAGAGTTTGAGAAATTTATAAAGGTATTTTTAGTTGGGAAAAAAATATATAAAAACAAAACATACGTTATTCTTTTACGCCATCACATTTTTGAATACATTTTTAGGGTTTTTTTTTCACTATAATATTTCTACTTTTTGGTTTACTCAAAAATCGAATCGATAATTTAAGGATGAGTAGTTGGAAAAATTCCCTCAGAATGTATTCATTTCGATCAGTCGATTTCTGATCTGCAATGTTTTTTTTTCTTTCCAGTGATCAGTTGAAAAGAAGCAATTGTATGCGCTTAGCAGCAAAAGAGACAAATAAACTGATCAGTAAACGACGAACGTTTTTTATCGCTCGTTCGATAAAACTTGCACGGAGATCCCGAACGAATAAATGTGTTCAGGATAAGTATTAAAATATAAGTATTTACCTGACGAATGTTGCAATGTCTAATTCGATTATTTTTTATTTTAGTTTTCAAAACAGATATTAATAAAGTTGTAAACGAAGCGGAAACGTTGTAAGGTAAGTGATATTAATAAGAGAAAAAAAAAACGGGGGGAGTACAGAAGGTGAATTTTTCAAAATCTAGTAAGCGTAATGGTAATTTGTTTAAATTGTCTAATAAATTTCTTACTTGTAGTAAGAGACTTTATTTTCTTCGATTAAATTGCACTCTTCGTTAGTCGAAGATTAATAACTTGATCTATTTTATATTCAAATAGCCGTAGGGGTGTTGAATTTTATCTTTTTAACAGTAAAACTTCTTAATTTATTTCTCACTTGCTCCATTTCCTTTAAATTTTACTAGTACGTATTCCTTTTTACCGACTTTCAACAAACCGAAGTTATTTTCAAAAAAAATTAATACTAATTTAACGGAACCGGCACCGTAGCCACTGCCAATTTCCAATTATCTCCCTCACTGTGACGTCACATACGTCACTCCCACAAACCTAACCTATTGTTTACGTTTTTATTTAATGTTTACGATCAAGTCATCTGGGATGTTCACTGATTACTTCAATATGTTTAAAAAAATTTAAACGGAAATGCCGCAAACTGATCGATATCCATCATGGGTAATTATAACCGTTTATCGTATTTAAAACATGCGTTTTTAATAAGTTGTAGATGCATTTAAATATCCAAAATACACAAAATAAATCGTTCACTCGATAATGCACGGCCATTTTATATTCCACTGCTAACTATCTTTTGTTATAGTTTAAAACTAACTGTTACATTTACACGAAGTCTTATTCGTAATACCTCTAACGCTTGGTATGTATTCGATGAATTTTCAGGTGGGTTTAGTGTACATTTTCAATCTGATCGTTGGCACCGGAGCCCTAACTTTACCAGCCGCATTCGCCGGAGCCGGTTGGTTATTCAGCACTCTGATGATGCTCTTTCTGGCCTTCATCAGCTTCGTCACCGTCACGTTCGTCATCGAATGCATGGCCTGCGCGAACGCCACTTTGGCCAAGGCCAGAAACGGTTCCGATGAATTCTACGTAAGCCAATCTCCATCTCATTGTTGTCACCTAACAATCGTTTGCGTTTTAGGAGAGTTCCGTGCGACCGGTCGATTCCGATTCGGACGTGGAATCGGAGCACGGCAACGAAGAGACGGCCATCTTGCGAACGCCCCGCCGGAATTCCCCGTACAAGTTGGACAAAAAAGTGGAATTGGGCGAGATGGCCGGTCTCTATTTGAACAAATTCGGACACACGTTGTTCTTCTCGTCGCTGTGCGTTTACCTGTACGGCGATCTGGCCATTTACGCGGCCGCTTCGGGCAAAACGCTGGTGAATTTGGCGTGTCGCGAAAGCAACGAAACCGAGAATTACAGTACGGCTTGTTTCGGGGGCTCCGGCTTCACCAAAATCGACATGTACAGGATATTCGTGACGCTATTCGCCGTATCCGTCGGTCCGTTCGCTTATTTCAACTTACAAAAAACCAAGTATCTGCAATTGTTCACCGTTTGCATCAGATGGCTGGCCTTTTTCGTCATGGTAACGCTGGCCGGTATCAGATTAATGGAGCTCGGTCCGCAAGGTCATCCGGCCACCGTGAATTTGAAAGAAGTACCCGCGTTGGCGGGCAGTACCGTGTACAGTTTCATGTGCCACCATTCTCTCCCCGGCCTACTTTCGCCTATATCGGATAAGAGTCGAATCGTTCGAAAAGTCAGTTACGATTTCTTCGCGATATTCTCCTTCTATCTGTTATTGGCTTTGACCGGTTCGTTCGCCTTCGCCCGACTGAACGATCTCTATTCGTTGAATTTCATCGACGCGAACGATTCGAACGGTTTCACGAAGGCGATCGGTTTCTTCCTGGCGGCGTTTCCGCTGTTTCCGATGTCCACCAGCTTCCCCATCATCGCCATCACGTTGCAGAACAACCTGAGGCATCTGACGATGGCGAACGGACGACGGAACGTCTCGTTCGATCGATTGGTGTTTCCGACGGTGGCCGTCGCGCCGCCCTTCGTGGTCGCTTTGTGTACGCACAACATCAAGTATTTGGTCGAGGTGACCGGCACTTACGCGGGAGTGGTCGTGCAGTACGTGGTGCCCGCTATATTGGTGAATTACGCGCGGAAACGGTGCGTTAGAGACTTTGGTGGTTGCCCGAACGAGTTTTCCAGTCCGTTTAAACACCGCTTTTGGTATTGGTTCGTCGTTTGTTGGTCGGTTTTGTGCGTGATATTCGTCACTGTTGATTTTGCTTTGAATAAGTAATGTCTGGTGGAGTATATTGACGATATTTCGGAGAGAATGCGACTAATTCTATTCGTTTAGTTGGGTATTTGAGTACAATCGGGCAAGATTATAGCAGAAGTTTGCTTTAAAGTCGCTTTTCGATTGAGTATTTCGAAAAAAACATAGCGTTAGAAAAAAACTGCAGTATTAAGTCGATTACCTATTAAATTTAATAACAGTAATAAGTGGTATAATAAAGTCTAATATATTTTTTTATTTAATATTTTCGTGATCTCTTAGTCAATTGAATGTTTATATTCCTGACTGCTATATTAAAAACGTATACATATTTTTAAACTTTATTTCATCGTTCATTTCTTTCTAAATTACTTTACTCTCTATCGGTATTTGTTAAAAAAAGAAAATTCTCGAGACCTTTCAAATACTTTATTTAATAACAACACATGTATATTAACATATATTATTTGGTGAGAACAAATAATTGAATATAATGAGTTGAATATATCATTCATATTAGTATTTACACAGTACACAACAAGTCATCGAGGGAAATGGGAAACAGCACATTAAGAACACCTCAATGGGGGATAATAAAATCAAATTGGCCCATTCTAAAATCTCTACGAAAATTAATCGTATATCATCGTACACTAATATGCTCTTAGTCCTTTTCTTTATTTATTAGGAGATAAATTTTGTTATTTCGATAAATAGCAGAATTAAAAGCTTGTCAATTAATAGAGCATTTTGTAAAAGCATAATTAGTCTGGCAGAAAAATGGGACAATTTGTAACATAACTTTAACAAAGAAAACGAACAACAGAACAATTTTCAAATCTCCTTTCATTGCACTTCGTTTACTTGGAATTTAATGGAAAAATATCGTTCGAAAGATTCGTTAATTGGCGATGGGAACTTATAAATAGGGACAAAATCAAATAAGCTAATCTTTCAAACAATATTTCACCTATTAATGGACCTTCGAGACTAGATTACAGGGTGAAGTAACACTGAACAACTTATTAACGAAGGCCCGACTTACAAATAACGGCTTCTCATCATCTACCTATATAAAGACTAGGTATACATAATCACAGAGCATCTAAAAAAATTATACTAAATACTGAAAACCTTGTACACGATTTGAGATTTTAGTAAAATAGTTCTTCTAAAGAAGATAAAAATCTAATATCATATAAATTTTTATTACATACGGCGCGACCAAACAGAATTTCTAATAAGGTCGCACGGAATAAAAAATGAAGTCAACAAAACCAGAGCATTCTGTTTGAAACAAAACCACTAATCGAAAGAACGCCCCGTAACAAAAACGAAGAACGGATTCCTCTAATCGAATTTTTATACACATTAAATTACATATGAGTTATATACAGTTTAAATTAATATGATACACTTTACCTTGTAGGAGACGACTAGCACACATGACCAGTATCTACAACGTTTATTCCGTCGTCCCTTTTTTTTTATATCTTCACCTATTTACAAAAATCACAATTTAATTTTACGTACATTATTACTCCATTAGTGAAAAATTCATGACATCTATTTGGTTAACAGACAATATCTATGAGATTGATAACTGTAGAATATGTAGAAAAATATGGTTTATCATGAATTTCTAAATGCACAAATTTTGCATTGAAATTGAAAATGAAATTTACAAAACTGAAAAAAATAATTCTTCTTTTTATGGTGATGTAAATAGTGCCTCGACTATTCGGATATTTGTTTTTAACTAACTCTTCTTCCTTAACACACAAATATGGCCTCTTTTAAAGCTTGCATATAGTTCATTTATAAAAAGTTAGCCTCTTTACTGCTACAAATATTAGTTGTTAGTAACTATTTAAAGCGTATAAAAATAGCGTTTGATAATAAATAAATGCAAATCTTACCCTCCTGTAAAGGAATAAAATTTGTTATCACAAAAAAGTAAAGAAATTCTACTGCAATCAATCATCATAGTGGGTTTCGACAAAGAGATGGAGCCACTTTACACCATCGAAAAAGCAGCCCTCTACGTTTCCAGAAACGTCCGGTAATATACACAAGGCGCACGAAAAATAAAAAACCAATCATCCTCAAACCCACAAATTAGCACCGAGTCCCAACTCAATATCGAATCGTTAACACTTAAATCGGCGTCGGTAGCACCGTGAAATCCTGCAAGGCGCTCTTCACCGTCTCGTACAACGGCCGATTCTCGTCCGTGCAATAACCGTCGGGCGTGCAGAGCGTCTGCAATTTGCTCAAGTAACTGTCGAAGTTCTCCTGGCCGATCTTCTCGGGCGTCGCCGCCGCCGGGACGCCGCCGGCCGCGCCGCCCGGCAACCGGACGTGCTCCAGCAGCGTGATCACGTTGTTGCGCAAACTCTCGTAGTACTCGTTCAAATTGGTGGTGCGCTGCGTCAGCGCGTTCGTTTCCTGAGGGCGAAATGGAAGAGAATGCAGTGAGACACACACACGGGTTTATTGCGACGATCCGATCGCTTTGTTACGATACCAGCGTTGCTGTGATCGGATACGAAACGAAACGTTAGGTTCTTTTTTTTTGCTTTTTGTTGCTCCACCGCCATCTCCTTTCGCTCACATTTTTGACGCATATGACAGGTAAAAGTGACATATGACAAGTGACATAAGGGTGTAGTTCAGAGTAAAATCGTAGCGAAAGAAGATTTACGGTGGATTCTTGGACTTAGATTGTCGAAGAATGTGAAGCTTATAAGAGTTTTATGAAAAATGTTAGCAATGAATTGGGTTTCTGCTATAATCTAATGCTTCGATACAAACAAAATGGGAGGTGGATAAATACTCACTTTTTCGCTCTGGCCCAATTGGTTTTCCATGGCGTTGATGTCCGATTTAAGTTTAATCATTTGGGACTCGACGCGTGCATTTTCGCGTTGCAATTCGGATATTTCCGCCTCTAATGTCATGAGATCTTCACCGCCATTCGAACTTTGTTCTATACCTGTAAAAACACGTCTAAAAATAAGTTTAATTCTAATGTAATAAAGACTCAAATGTTGTAAAAATTCATATATATTATTCAATAAATATATCGTGTATCGGTGTAGTAACTTAGGGTGACAGGTATATTGAATAGATTTTAAAACAAAAATAGAAGCAACCAAGATTCTTAAGATGTAAAACATTCTTCTTAATGATGGAGAAATAAATAAAAAATATATAGTACGATTTTTAGTGCTCATTTGAAAACCATCCAACCCCAGGTGTCACCCTATACACAGATTGCTCCATTTTCCATTGCAGGCTATGGGTGCAACAAAGACAACTAAAATTAGACAGTTATAGAGCAAAAAGAAAGAGTGACATTTGTGTCATTGCAACTTTTCACTCTGACAACTGTCACTTCAATCATCTTTCTTTGTTCGACTCATAGAAACGCCCATATTGCAATCGGAAAATGAAGCAACCCGTATACGCAAGAACGTATAACGCATGTATAATGTATAATAAAACAAAAATGTATGTTTTACACATACATACGTACCGGTATATCCTTTATAAAACGGCATATCCTCGGGGTACTTGGACTTTTTCACCGTCTGGCCGGCCACCGGACAGCCGCTCAGCGAGCGGTGCGTCAGAAAGGAGCCGTTTATGTGACCGGTGCCGTCGCAGCCGGGCGTCGGACAATTGACGCCCTCGAATTTCATCGCCGTGGCCGCCGCCACCGCCGCCTTGTGTTGCTCGACGCTGCCGCCGCTCTCCAAAACGCGCATTTTGTTTCGGTTCGCTATGGGACAGCCGCTCGCGCTACGAGCGAAACACACAGTTCAGTAAACGTTTTTTTTTTTTGTCTTCGAATGGATATAGGAGAGGACAAATAAAAGGGCACACGAACAATGTCTGTGGATTGATTACCTTCTGTGCGATAGGAATTTTCCGGTCGCGTGTCCGGATCCGTCGCAACCCGGTATGGGGCATCTGATTGCGTGAAACAAAGCACCACACTAAATAACCCAATTCCTCTTTTTTTTTTACACACACACAAAAAAAAATACTACTACATCTTTATATTAATTTATACATTATACATCCAATCGAACCGACATATAGTGTGGCCGTAACAACCGTATAGGTGCAACAATAAGGTTCGATTTCGATGGTTTTCCTCTACAGCTCGTACTCCGATTAAGAGTTGGTAGAAAAATAAAATCATTTCTCACCTGAGGGGTTCGGAATCCTGCCCGTCGCGGGGCTTGCTCTTGGGCTTGTTGGCTCTGGGACAGCCGGACAGGCTGCGGTGCGAGGAGTAGTTGCCGGTCACGTGGCCGGACCCGTCGCAACCGGGCGTCGGGCATTTCAGCTCCTGCGAGTGCGGCTGGATTTGGGAGCGATCCGCCCGAGGACAACCCGACAAACTGGAATAGAAAAAAAACAACGATTTATAACCCCGACGAAGTGAAAATTACTGATATAGTGTTATCGAGGACCTGGCGCTGTAGACCTAGTAGTTAATCGGTTAGGAAACTTTGCTTATTATTTCTGTATATTAATAATTTGGTTGTTTTAAGCAATAATTTCTAGTTAAATGCTTGCCTTCTGTGGGTGGTGTAGTTGCCAGATACATGCCCCATACCATCACAGCTGTTTGTTGGACACTGAATCAGCCCCTTAGCATCCTTAGTACTGCAAGTCTGTTGACAGCCGTCGGTACTAGACACTACAACGTCGGTTCTAACAAAAGCCGTTGTATCAAAAAAAAAAATCAGTTCTCTCGTTCGATGCGTTTGCAAATTAAACCGGCTAATTCTCGCGATCCCCCCGTACGCTGCTGGTAATTTATTTTAAGCGCTAGAGTGAGACGGAAAAAACTTTCTTTCGACGAATGTAATAATAATTCGCTGATTAATAATGCAACGCGAGTAATCTAACCTTTGTTAAAAATAACTTAAAATGCAAACTGTTTTGTTTATAAAAAAATAGAGCTAATGAAAACATTGTAATAATAAAAATCCTAATTTATCGGAGCGTTTTAAGTAGCCTACATAGTACTTAAAAATAAGCAATGGAAAAAATTAAATTATAATTAATTAAACGAAAACGTCAAAATATTGAAAGGAACAAAAAAAAACAGACATACCCCTGGTCATCCATTAAATTTTAAATAGCAACTTCCACGCAAATTGAACGCACCAAACGAGCACACGATTCGAAAATGAGTAAATTACGGCATCTACAAAACGCGATGACGATCGTGTAAATATATTCCTTTCGATAAAAACCGACTCGATAACTGATTAGACGAATTTTCCTTCGTTTCGAACGTTGCGTTGTGGCGTTTTTATCGCAATAGGTGAACAAACGTCAACGACACAGGTATCTATGTTATTCTATTTTCATTTAACCAAAACGGACGGGTTGCCACTTAAGCTTTTATGATAATGACTGCGGCTACGATACCGGGGCGATGCAGTAACTTCTCTTTACTTACATTACTATCGTTTTTTTTTTTGAATTTGTGCACTTATTACCTCGATTAAATTATCTTTATTATCTGTTATACACGCACAGCGCTAACACTCTATTAATAGAATTTGTATATAGTATAAGCGATCATATTTTAAGCACGAAGATAAATATACAGGGTGGCCCAGAACTCACGCCCCACCGGGAAATGCCTTATGCCACGACGAAGCTTCTGAATAATCCATTTAGAAGCAAATCTTTGATCAATAGTCACAACTGATTTTGACAGCTTTTGTTAACCTTGAAAGTGAAAAGGACATAGAACCTTTCAATAATGTCAAAATGGGATTGGTCAATTTTGAACCTCTTTATTTACCAAAAGAAAAACTCCTGCCTTCGACTGCAGTTTTGGCATCTCCATTGTCGCCTCCATAAGGCATTTCCCAGATGGGGCGTGAATTCCGGGCCACCCTGTATAGAATTATTATTATTACGAACGTACCTGTCTTTGTTGGGCGATTTGTCGTGCTGCGACAGAGAGTGCTGCGGCGGCGGCATCGAGTAACAAGCGCCGGGCGAATACCCGCTCGGCGGTACCGGATAACCGGTGGTAACGGGCCCCGGGTAACCCCCGGCGCAGGAGTACCCGCCCGGCGGGTACGGCGAATAGGGATTCGAGTAATCGCCCGCCACCGTCGTCATTCCGTAGCCGGGATGCGGACTCATCGGGCCGTAACCTGTCCCAACAAAAAACACCAAAATGACCACCTTTCCCTAAGTATTTCCTTCAAAGATGCGAGTGCTTACCGGCGGGATCTCTGTAGGCGTCCATGTAATGGCTGCCGCCGCTGTCGGGCGTCGATTCGCGGCTGTAGCCGGCGCCGGGCGCTAGCACCGGCCCGCCGCCCGGCGTCGAAGCGAACGAAGCCACCGGTCGGACGCCGCTAAATCGAAAAAGAAAAAAAATAACTGTCATACAACGAATCGGAAGCGCCATTCGAAACCCACCTGTGTGATAGCCTGCTGATGCTCAGGTCCAACGTTTGACCTTGAGGACTGGGCACCTGGGGGCTGGCCGACAAATGCGGACTGGCGGCGGCTTGGGGACTGCCGCCCACCCTTTGACCGGCGCCGCCGTAATGCGGCGAACTATAAGCCACCTGGAATATTAAAAAAAAAAAACGCGAACGTCAGCTACGCCACTGCTTATATATACATATCCCAACAGAAGTGGGACAATCTCAACACGGCACTTCAATCGAGATAAACAATCAAACGACCTATTAAACTTCATCATATTGTAGTCTCTTGTTTGTACAGAGCCATTCGGGAAACCAATTAATAGTTGGAAATGTTCGTTTAAAAGTAAAGGTAGTGATACAAACGAAACTAAATTCATCGCCATCGAGCACGATTTCGTTACCAAATCCTTCAATTGTATTAACCGAAATGAATGCCATCGCCTTGTATCAGATAATGTACTCACCTGTGGGCTGGTAGTAGTGACGCTGGACGTCGACAGATCGATAACGGTGCCCCCAGGAGATGTGTGCGGTCCCTTCATTTGGGCTTGGGCCGTCGTCACACATTTCACAGATAAGTTAATTGCCGAAAAGCCCACGGGAAGCGGACCGCCGCTCGCCGCGTCATACTGATACATTGGTCTGTAAAATCCCCGAATAAGAAAACGAAACACCCGGCTAACTAATAGTGTGTCTAATACCTGGGATATAGAGGTCCGGCGGATTCCGGTTCCTCCGTTTTCATCATACTCTGCGCGTTCGCCACGGCTATTTGGTGTTGTTGCGCCGCCGCCGCCGCCTCCTGCTGGTACCGCTGCTCGTGCTGGTCCTCCAAGTAGCCGTACATACCCTGCGGCGGCACCCTCGGCGGTCCCAATGGTCCTTGTTGCAACGCAACGCATTGGCCGGAATCGTAGCGTTCGAAGCTGTTGGTGCCCGGATCGTAGGGTCGGTGTCCCGCCGAATTGATCAATCCGGATTCGTACGATCTGTTAGATATCTCGTTCGAGTAGGTCACTACCGGTCTGGCTACGCCGCCGCCGCCTATGGGTTCGTTCATTTCGGCGTAGGACCGCTCCCTGTGGTACATTTCCTCGGACATCGGAGACTGGTGATACGGCGAGCGATGAGGCAACTGATGGTCCATGTTATACCTTTTCGATGGAATCGAATGAGCGGATTTCCGGACGGAGCGAGAAGCGTTACTTACCCTGGTTGTTGTTGGTTGTGGTGCGGTCCCATGTGGTGGATTTGGTGTTGGCTTCTCGAATTCATGGCGTCCATGCTGGACATCGAGGAGGAGTTCGAGTCTTGGTTGATGTACGGCTCGTAGGCGGATCTGATGCCGGGAGGCGGCGATCTGCAGGAGCTCGGCATCTCCGTTTTGGGCACCAGCAACTCGCCCTGTTGGCCGCAGCAATTGCTGGTTGACACTTCGGATTTGGGGATCTTCATCGGATCCGGTTTGATGGGATTCGATTTGGAATAATATTGATCGTACGGCGCTTTTATGTCCTCCGATGTGGTCGTCGGGGTGTTACCGTAATTCACTAGGTAACTCGGTTTGACGTCTTCCGACGATGGGCTCCTCTTTCCTTCGAAGTTCGGAGGAAATTCACCACCTTCGCAAAATAGTAACATTGATAATAGTACGATATTATTCGACGTGGAAGGAGTATAAAGATTTAGCAGAAGTAGAGAGCATCTTACCGACGAAATTGGGCGAATTCGAGGGAGATTTGCTCGTGATTTTCTGCAAATTCGATTGGTACTTTTGCTCGCGGACCGCCTGTTTATTGGCCGCTGCTATGGGACAACCGGACAGACTTCGGTGGGAGTTTCTATTCGAGGAAACGTGACCGCGACCGTTGCAACCAGGAGTAGGACATTTCAGAATGGTCTCGTGCATCGCCAGGACTAAACCACAACAGAATCACCGATAGAAATTTACCCAGCGCGTCCATTTAAACTCGGCACAAATTGCACAAATTATTTCTGCAATTGCACTGAGTGTATTCGAACTAAACGCTCAATAAAAATCTATTTGAATAAGATGACCAAATTAGTAAAAAGGGTATCAAAAACAACCCTGAATTAGTTTTTAATGTCTGGTCATCTTATATTGAGTATAATAAATGTGTGGAAAGACCGAAAAATAATTAGAACTCAAAAGCGGGTAGAGAGATCAAACAAAAATATGGTCTTTTTAAAAATTTCCACACACAGAACATTATTATACTCAAAATTCGATTCTGATGCGTGCGATGGAAGGATAGGGAAACCGGATTTTAGGTTTGAACATAATGGAAAATAATTGAACAATGTGATGATGGTTGGAAGAGGAAATGGTTGCTAAACTAAAGCTGGGAAAAATGCTCTCTACCCCGCAAAAAAGCAACAAATCGAAAATGATAACAAAAAAAACAATGTGATACAAGCTCAAGGGTGAAAATGGGAATCATGAATTCGTGCCTAATTCTATAATATTCTACAGAGGATTTTGTCCAAATTATTTATAGATTTGCGCTTCCAAAAAAATCCTTCGTAAAAATTACGTAAACAATTTTCCAAGCATTAGAATTAAGTTTCATTCTTACTTACTTTCTGGAGTTACTTTGTCTTTTCTCGGGCATCCAGAAAGACTAATTGAACATATTCTATATGAGTATAAGTGTTTCGAAATTCGTGAAAATGTTAACATTCAATAACACCACTGTAGCAATTTTGTTATAAAAAAAAATCTTCACTCACCTCCTGTGATGAGAATACAATCCAGTGACGTGTCCTTGACCCGTACATCCCGGCGTGGGGCACTTCGAACCCTCTGGAACAACCAAAAAAAAAATCATTAAAAACTCCACTTTGGCTCTGCCTAAAAACCGTCGCTCCGCCAAAAACTTTCGCACCGCCAAGATAAAAAGAGAAAGTAAGTTAAGTCGCGAGCGAGACAGGGCGATTCGTTTAAGGCGGATTTAGCTTTACGAGGGGATTTCGAAAATATCGAACAATTTGAATACGATTCGAATTCGAATTGATCGAGCCAGAGGTGTCTTTTTATGGATAACGAGTCGAGTTTTTATTGGATTCGAATGGAGCCGTCGATTTGGAGGGATATAAAAAAAAGGGCGTGTAATAAGAAAGTAACAATTTATAACGTTTTTGTAACGATTTTAATCCTAAATCGTAGGTGTTTTACATCTGTAGGAATAGGGAATAGTAAATAAAATCAGTTTAAAGTCAATTCCGATGAAGTTGTGATGTAATTAAAAGCTTATTCAACTGATGCTAACATTTTTTTTTCATTTATTATAAACTTGGATGTACATAATCGAGATGAAAGCATTCAAATCAGTCGCAACTAAGCCGAAGCTAAAAAAAAAACAACAAAATCTCCTTTGAAGCCAGCAATATTGAAACCTCCGTTACTAATAGCCACACACGACACATAGCAAAAACAACTTTTCCATCGCTCTTTTTTTTTCCATCGTCGTCGTTTCCCATCTCCGTCGTTCCGTCCCGGAAAACTCCCAGAAAACTCGTCGGAAAAGAGTTTTGCGCAACTCCCGGACCCCGCCCAATAGGTCGATTAGCCTATAGCGAGTGCCGGGTGGAGACTCGCAAGAAAAATCTTTTTTGCGAAAAAAGTAACCGCATCGCCGAGTGGCCGACGAAGTTCTCGCGGCGTCGTTCTATCGCCGGTCACGGCACCTGCGCGTCGACGCCGCGACGCCGCTCTACCGCTCTCTTCGTTTTTTGTTTTTCCTTTTTTTTTTCTCGTTCCTCTTTTCCGAAGGGGGGTGTTCTGGAGATTACTCCCACTTTTCGGAGGAGGCCGCCGACGTGTGGGAGGCGTTCGACTCGAAACGAAGAACGTCCAAAAAAATAATATACCAAAAAAAAAGGAGTTCTATACCGTAGAGTAGAGATGCGCCGTTCGGGTAACCGTTACTCGCTGTAATTTCGTTGTTAAAATTGAATTAAAAATCGTCCACATTAATAATCAACGAATTAAAACTCGCTGTGTATTTAATCTGCTTAATGTAGAATCTTCGCCTATTAGCATGCACCGCCGTTACCGTTTTCCCCGATTCTTAATCCCGTCAGGCACTTATTTTCCTCCCCCCCGTACACGCAGATATGACTAATCATCGGCGTCGCTAATAACATCGAAGGTAGCACGGTGGGCGCGATCGCCGAAGCGGATGGTCGAAATTTCAGAAGTGGGACGATTTTCCAAATTGCTCCCGTAAACAAGTCGTTTGCACACCGGTCACGTCGCAGGGACTTATAACTTGTTTCGAGTAAACCTATAATGCAGCGAACGTCCTTAAGACGGCGCCAGGTGATGGGTACGCGAGAGGTGGATTTCTAACCGCAATTACGAAGTTCCACCGTTGTTGCTTAGTAAAAAACCAATGCGGTGGAATAGTCAATTATAAAACGGGTAGATTCGTACGAATTCCGAACGAATTTCGAAATAATTAAAACAAATTTTAAGCCCCCCTTTCCCTGCCGCCGTTTAATCATCGGCATTCCTAAGACTCCATTAATCATCCGAACGGAAAGTTGCATCTTTGTAGTAAGTACGCGCTACAACCGAACCCCAGCCTATTACGCACGTAGCGAGAATTCCGCTCTCCAACCCTCTAACCCCAACCCCCCACATATCGCCGACGAAGAACATATTAGGGGATGATTAGCATTCGAAAAACGACAGGGGAGGAGGCGAGAGAACGTGCACACGAAGGGACAGGAACGGAATTCAGATACAGATTCAGATATACAACCAACAACGATGAGAACAACCCCGAACCACCCCCGAAAACGACTTACCTTTACCGATACTGTTGGGCGACAGCGAGCCGGGCGCGACCGATTTGACCGCCTCGCCGGCCGCCTCCTGCAGCGCGGTGGCCGCCCGCGAGCCGGCGCCGGCCGGCTGCAGAATGGTGTACTGCTTGTCGGCCGCCTCCGGGCTCTTCTGCAAGCCGGCCGGGCTGCGGGGCGGCTTCTTCGGCTCGGCCGGCGAGCCGTCCGGGTAGCCGACGAAGGTGGCCTCGGCGGGGAACGGGCCGATCGGCGGGTTCTTCGACGGCGGCGGCGGCCTGAAGGCCGAGGCGGCCGAGAACGATATGTCCTTTTTTCTGGCGTCTTGGCGCCGGTGCGTTTCGTTTTTCTCGGCCGCCGATTCGGACATGTCGATTTCTAGTTCGTTGGAGGAATCGTCGACTAATTCGTTGAAGTCCGGCGAGGAATAATTCGGTCTGGTGGCGGTTCTGTTGGATTTGTGCGAGTACTTTTCGTCGTCTTCGTCGTGCTCGTGGGGTTCTCTCAGCGTTATGACGTCTTTCAAAGAGCAAGTATTGTCGCTGGAGCAATTGGATGTGGAGGTGGGCGAGAGTTTGGCGGCCTTTTTTTCGTCGAATAAATTCTCGAATGCCGGCGCGTCCTCTTGTTGGTGGGGATAACCGCCTCGCGGGCCGGGCCAGCTGCCCGACAGGTTCTTCAAAGCCGCTTCGGTTTCTCTGATGAGGGTCTCCTCGGCGGCGGCCTCTTCTAATTTCGGCGATTTCTTCGGCCTGTTGGGCGAATTGGACGGCGGCAGGACGCGCTTTTTCTGCGGCAACAGCAACGCTTTCGCGTCTTTCTTCTTCGTCTCTAACGTTTCTAATTTCGCGAAGCTTTTCGCCACCGTTGCCATATTGGGTGTTTCTATTTTGCGCTTTTTCAGTGATGGCAAGCCAAAAGGACGATTCGACCTAAAATACAGAAAAAAACGATATTTAAATTTCGTTAAATTTCAACACCAATGGGTAATTTGAACGCGATTTGGCAACAGTGGCGAAAAAGCTGGAATAAAACGTACCTAGATATCCTTTTGGGTAGGATTTTATAATTCGAAATATATAATACAACGACGTAAATTTGGATAAACAATAAAACGAAAATTACGAAGCAGAAGAAAAAACATCTGGCAACAACAGTAAATATTTATTCAGCAGGAATCCACATTAAATTCTAATAACTTTTTTTTTTAAATCCGCGAACCGTCCCCAGCGGCAGAAGTAACAGACCGTTGTTGATTCTAATCCCATTTCGCGTTTCCCCACCGGAAAAACCATATAGGAAAAATCCTCGGAGTCACTCTCTTCTTTTATTTTCATTTAATTTGTATTCATCAGGAGCTCTCAGGTATGCCAACCCTTCCGAAAAACACGATTAGATACATCGGTTATTCCCCTGCATATTTTAAAAGACGCCATTCATATTTCCTCCCTCGTCGGCGTCGTTTCAGGACCGTCTTCTTACGCACCCGCCGAAATCGCTGCGAGCGTTAAAATGCAAATGCGAAATAGCGCGAAACGCGGGTGGAAAATTTTATGCAAATCGCCAGTAATTTAATTATTTCAACAAAAAAAAAACTGACCGAAATTCTACCGCGAAATTTTAGCAAAATCAGAAGTGGGATAACGCATGCAGGACAAACTATGGCGCTCCGCCTATGCTATTCTAGTATAACTAAAAAGAAAAGGCAACAGGATTCCCGTTAGTGCCCCAGACCGGAGTTACCCTTCGGTATTTATGGAGGGTGAGATTTCGGGGGAGAACGCGGGCTCGCGACCTTGTCAGATTGGGGGAATCCCTTCAGCGATTCTTCTCCGATGCGATTATTTTTCCTCCTCGTTCATCCGATTCCGAATGTGTGTCGAAAAATACAACAGACATCGATATCGAAATCATTCGATAACGGCGAATTCGGATTTGGGGTAGCCGAAACGGAACGGGGGGTGTTATTAATAAGTATATCAGGAGATTAATAAGTGTAATTTGGGAGAGTATAGACTCTCTGAGCCGTCGCGACGCCGAGGATTGACCGCATCGACGCCGGGCGTTCGCTGGAAAGGTGGCTTTTGGATTATTTAGCGAAATCCCAGTCGTTGCTGTTAAATACTGATAGCTAAAGCGAGGACCATCCGACCGGGGATAAAGGACTTAATCCAGAGATTTCAGTTTAAAGACTTTCCAGAAGGGGGTGTATGGTGTTTCGAAACGTCGCAACGTTCTAAGAAGTGGCTTTCGAATCAACGGATTAGAGGGCTTTGGAGGAGTTTCGCGAGGAGTTTTGAACTTTCTAGGTGGACCCGACGAGAGCGCGGAGGGAGATAACAACAACACCAGAAACCTGGTTTAGGAATCGACTAAATTTTTCGCTGATAGATGAAAATTTAATCGGTGCATCGGGATAATTGGCGAATAGTCGGGGAAGTTTGTAGCTCTATCGAGTTTTAGTGCAGTCGGGTTAGAGCGCCCTGGGGGCGGTCGAGGCTAGACAGGACTCGATTGGATGTCGGTTGATTGTCTTGCGTTTTCGATTTCGTTTTGTTTTGAATTTTGAAGTTGGAATTGGGAATGGAACCGCAGGGAAATCACATCGGAGGTGGCCGAGCGCCGCCGGTCCGAGGGCGGCAAGCGGGGGATTAAGTTTACAAAATTAGATCAATTTCATCAATTCCCTATGAATAAGATTAAAATTTTCTGTTATTGTGAATAAAAAATTTTTTTTTTACTTGTTCAATTTTTATATTATCTCAATAATTGTAGTGATTTATATTATTGATAAAAAATTGTGAAATTCGAGTATATGTATAGCGTAAAAATTAATAATTTATATATATTTTTTTTGTACATACCTGCTACTATTGCAAACGGCCTGTATCATTTTCACCCCCCTGGTGTCCCCTATGAAAGTCAAAAAATTCGACCATCCCTTTCTCACATATTTAACAATTCGACAACCAACGAAATTCCAAATTCAAAGTCACCAAAAACTCTCGCAGAAAGTTCCACCAACTCAATAGCGCGATCGACCAATCAGTCGTCGATTCAACCAAATAATCCCAACGAAAACTCCGCAACTCGCCAAAATACAAAAAAAAACAAACTTTTAATCACTGAAAACTCCCCGGAAAACTTCTTCTTTTCGAAGCTCGCGCCGTTAACGCAGCTCGATTTTCTCGTGGATCGTGCGTGTCGTACAATACACGCACTCGGCTGCAACTGCAGGAGTCCGGAGTCGATGGCAGGAGCAGCGGGAGCGGACAGTGTCTCGAGAAGACGGCGATAGAACGAATGGGAGAGGTGGTAGGGGGCGCGCGCATCGCGAATGCAGCCCTCTCTACGGGTGTTTCGTTGCTCTCAGGCCTTGCCCACCCCGATAGGATAGGGTCCGGCATCGGCAGGACCCAGCAGGAGTGGAAACGAAAGGACCAGCGACCTGTGCATGTGCTTCGAATTTGCTACTTATTTGTCGAACGCCGATGGACAGGAGATAAGGTCCCGCGACCGATGAAATGCCTTTGCAGGAATTTTTACTATACTTATTTTTTTAGCTGGAATTTTGCAAGATTAAGCAAAATTATGCGCATTGCTTTAAAACACTGAGAAAAATATGTATGCTTCCAGAGAAATGTAGTGAAAATATAACCATGTAGGTAGCGGTAGAGATAAGGGAAAGTTTGAAATTCTATCTAAACAAATATACCAAAATACCTGTAACAAATTTCCACGAACCTCCAAAATCCTTAGTGGAAAATAAAAAAAACGAGATATAAAACGGCCGGAAAGTGGAGAATTTCTCCATAAATAATGACTACTGCGAAGGTCATGAATATGGAGTAAAAAATTTGGAAAGTAAACTTTGTCTTCGACGAACTGAAATTTGGAAAGTAGTCCAAAACTTCGTACCTACTTCCAGACGACCATAGTCTGGTCGTTGGGAGACGGGAGTTTCTGGGAGTTTGCGAATCGTTGGCTCCGCCACCGGCTCTGCGATGACGAAAAAAAGTTACCCGCCACCAATCAGCGGCGCTACCAACAATATTCCTAAAGGTACTATTCAATAAAACTACAGATTAATATCAAACAGTGCTCCACAATACCCCGCTCCAGAAAGCAATTTCCTAACAACTAGCACATTTCTACCGATTTGCTACCGATTAGGAAAGCTTCGCTTTGCAGGACAATTGCAAGGATATTAATCGTTACACCCCCCCTTCGACTACACCACTGACCAAACTTCCGTTAATTCAAGTTCGACCGGGACGGGACTGCGACCTATCCCGCCGAAAACTCGCCGACTAGTTCGAACGAGCCAGAAAGAGAAAGTAACAACGAACGTAAGTGTAATTCGGCGTCGTCGGAGAAGTTTGCGGACTGAAGTTAAGTTTTAAGCGGCAGTTCGAAATTAAACTTAACTTTTTATGGGGCTCGGCATGAATTTCGCCGAATCGATATTGTTTACGTTTGGGCGAAACGTTGCGGATCGGAACGGCATTGAAAAACTCCTATACTGATGACCTCAGAAAAGGAAGAAACCGATGCTACTAAACGGGAGTTAGATAGTCGAAAGTTTTGTGTTACATGTAGGATATTCACTGATGGAGCAAACCTAATGGTTAGTAACTACGCTTTTTGCTTTAAGCTGGCCTCCAGTTGGTGATCATTGTGAATTAGAAGACTTTCAAAGACTCTAATCTTTGATAGAAACCACTATCTTGACAAATAAACTCATCGCTTCAAAACCAATGAAACCAATAACTGGTAGATATTGAAAAATATATCGACATTTTCTGGAGCACGCCATGGAGACGATATTATCGATTTCCAGGTGTGAGTTGAAGATGACTGGAATTGGTTGGAAAGTTCGTCGTTCGCTCGCTCATTATATATCTCTCGTAAGAAAAGTTTTTCGACACAACGAACGAAAACGCTCCGTTCTGGCTCGAACACGAGGTCCCGAACTTTTACCCACTTGCAAAACGAAAAACCAGCATGGCGGACCAGTCGATGAAACTTGGAAACTTTCGGGGTGTTCGTTCCATCGATTTTTTGTTTGGTAGAGGTCGGGTTTTTGGTAGTATCCCAGTTTTTTTTCTGTTATAGAGAAACAGATAAGGAAGTGGTTGGTTAATGGGAGATTTCGTGTAGGAAAAAAATTGGATTGGAATAGAACAATAGGTGGGAAAGATCCTTCATATATATATTTCCCCTTGTCGATTCGACTCGAAAAAAGACGTCAAAGCGATAAAATATCGGTTATATCCATACGTTTACATTTGATTCAGAAAGTCAGATAACTGGTGGAACTTTTATTGGATATGTTAGCTTTTTCTGTCGAAAAGGGTGATAGCGAAACGCTTCGATGCTCTCTCTTCCTATACTCCTACTGACGTTTTATATTATTTTTTATGGACGATGCTTTTCACTAAAAAGATTTATTACCTAATGGTCCGAATCCACGACAAACGACAATAAACCATAAAACATTATTTTATTTATTATACACACCTCCGCGCGTCCCCCTCTTTATAATAATCATCTCCATCCATTCCGTATCGATTCTCCTTACGAACGAATATCAAAAAAAAAAAAACAAAAAAAAAATTAGTCTCAATTTCGACCCCCGCGTTTCGCCGGGCCCCAACGCAAATAAAAATTAACCCCTTGAAGGGCTTAACCCCGTTACAGGCCATTCGGCGGGAATAAATGAATATTTGACATAATAACATTTCAAGGTATGAAAATTGAATGTTTCGGTTCAACACGGCCTTTTTTTCGGCCGCCGCGGCGGCCGCCCCCTCGTCAAGCGACAGGAGAAAGCCAGGAACTCCGCACCACCAGGGACGTTTCCAGCTTCCATTCATCGAAATCCAGATTTTTTTTTGCACTGTATTTATTATTTATACTTTAATTAAAATATTAGCGATATTAAAAATGGTATTTACTATGAAATATATTAGTACAGATCGATAGAAGTAGCTAGAGACGCTAAAGGTTATTTGAGCAGTTGCAAAATTCATAACAGTTTAAGAATTATTTTTAGAAGTAATTAGTTTATTATGTACCATCTTTAGTACCAGCAAAGTTTGCGCATCTAGTAACTCTAGCTATGTGTATCGGTCTGTACATAATTATTTAGAAACTAATCGCCTATAAATTGTCTTGTATAAGTTGGTTGTTTATGTAGAGCTGGGGCATTAAAACGAATTAAATAACCGGTTGAAAAAAAAAATAATGGATAAAGTCGGACCTGGTGGTGGAGGGCGGGCGGCCGCCCCCGGCTCGTGTCACTCAACCGGCGTTTACGTCGTTTCACAAACATACGGTTTAATCTTTTTTAAAGAGGGTACGGTTTAGTTTACTAATTAAGAACCGTTTAAAACGTCATTTTTCAGTTCTCTCGCAGGAGATCGGTATGCTACGCTTCCTGCAGCATTTCGTTTGTATATATATATATTTTTTATTAAATATATAAGGGGGAAAATTCAGCGAAAATCGGGAGTTATGACGTTGATAAGTCCGTTATGTCGCTGGCGGATTTCGATATCATTTGCGCGATTATTTCTCGAAACTTCACAAAACACAAAATATTCGAACCTATAAAATTATGCTTATTTTAAATACAGTACATCCACTATACTCCGGTTATGACGTAGTAAGTTAGAAAAAGCGGTGTTGCCAGTTTGTAACTTTTTCCCAGTACCTGTGTATATACAAAGTTCAATCGTTTATAGTGTAAGTTGATTTTACAATAATTGGTAATTCCCTTTTGGAGCGAAGAAGGGCCGGCGTCGACGGCGGCGACGCCGCGACGCTGCACGTTCGGCGGTCTGGCGTAAGCAAGGGCGAGTAATTTATCGGCCAGACGTGATATACCGGGTGATTTATCGACGCGAGGCAGTCTAAAAAGGAAATCCACCGGTCTATACAGGCGATATCACGGACCGATCTTATGAACCTGCTGCTCGCTCGGTAAATATTCCCGGATTTATGGCGTTTTTTTTTTCTTCTTCCCTTCGAAAAAAAAGGGGGCGCGGAGGACGGACAGTCGGCGCGATAAGTGCGAGGTTAAACGGAAAGAAAGTGAGGTAGAGATCAACGAGATTTTTCCGGTTTTCATCTCTTTAATACCGATTTCGTTGGCAACTAAATCGGGTTGTTATTTACCGAGGTGCGTCGGATGGAGTTTCTTTTTTCCGGCCTCGTCATTTCGCAGATTTATCCGGTTTTTATTTATGCACTGAATTGTTTGAAATGTATCGAAAACGGATCGATTGGCGTTTCGAATTACGCTAATTGTGGATCGCGAAGGGTCGGTTCGGGGTATAGACTCGGGGTTTTTAAATTGCAAATTCGGTCTAGCGATGCTTGGAGTGTCTTTTGGATTCCACGAGCGTGCCCGATGTTTCAATTTTCATTAGTGCATCGGCTCGAGAGGGGGGCGACTTCCGAATGAATTATTAATTTCCCGGCGTTCTAATAGAAAAAAATAAATAATTGGCTCACCTGTTTTCTGTCCGTCTAATTCCGCATTTTCGTTCATCTATCTGCAAAGAAAAAATCGGATAAGAGTCGAATAAACGTCCGATAAATTCGCGTAAAAACGAAAGGATAAAATTGAATTTTTCAATGGGCGACAGTGACTAATGATCCGCCGCCGTTTTCGGGCGAGTGGAAATAGACTCGACGAGTGATTGATGCAGTCAAGTCGGCCGGAGGTCTAGTAGGCTTTTCCTGTCGGCCGAAATGACCACCTGTTGACGGCCCATCAACATATACGAGCGTTTAGTTTAACCCGCAATTTCCCTCGGCCTATAAAAATTTATATAAATTCCTCTGTCGCTAGTCAGAGCTCTACTAACTACGCGAATAAAAAATAAATTCATAGCCGAATTGTAGGGGTGGTTTTGGATTATTTTCGTTCTAGGGCGCGATTTCATACAAGACTGCGATTTTCCGCCGATGAAAATCTCCGCAAAACTCCTCGCAAATCTGAGAGAAAATTCCCAGTCTCCGTTTTTAAAGGCTCGTCTTAGAAACGTCGCTCGAACAATGGACTCGTTAATTAAGAGTTCTTTCCGGGGAGATTTTAGATTCCGAAATTTCCGCTTACCACCCTTTTTTAGTCCCTAATTTAAGGAAGGAGAACGGGCGAGTGACTTGGTGGTTAGCAAAGGGAAAGAAATATATTTCATCACGACAATGTTCATTCAAAATACCTATATAGCGCAGGAA